AGCCTTCTTGAAAGTTATTTAGTTATGTCGATTGTGGAGACTCAGCTGGTGAGCTGTCTTCCACTGGGACTGAAGAGTCTCAGCCAGTTGTTGCTTTTTCTGTGAAAGGCTCAAGGATGTTGCGTCAAAACTTTGGCCTGAGAGATGTGCTCTCACGTGCAAATCCAGTAAGACTGTAGGTCAGCCAGGGTTGGGGGTATGTGTGTGGAATTTCATTCAACCACATGCTTAATTTATAAGGAACGTTCAGCTGATTTCAGCAAAACTCCAATAAGTGTGTAAACAAGTGTCAGTTGGACACTTTTTTTTTTTTACAGTGATATTATGTTGGACTTTTTCACCAACACAGAGTGTGCACAGCGACTGGAGTGTAGAAATAAACGGCTGTTCGCAAAATCTTTGCTTAGTTTTATTTTTGAAAACATAACAACCACACTCTGCAAGCCATCACTCCTCCTCACCAGCAGCATACAAAACATTCAATCAACTTAAATACATTTTTCAAATAATCAATTATCCTATCACATCCCTTCCTGCATCCGGTGCAGAAAGTAAACTCCCCTTTTAATTAGTCAAATAGTCAAGAGACCACAGGTGTGCAGCTAAATAGGTCAAACTGCAAGCATACACCTCTGAGTAGCACCACTGACCACCTTAAGATAAAGAAAAACCAACAGTTTATGCAGCATGCATGACGTCATAAAAACCTATGTATGCTTTATATACTGCTTAGCGCTTTACAGTGGTACCTCGCAAGACGAATGCCTCGCAAGACAAAAAACTCGCAAGACGAAAAAGTTTTCGCTTTCTGAGTTGCTTCGCAAGACGAATTTCCCTATGGGCTTGCTTCGCAAGATGAAAGGATACAATGTGACGATTTTCAATGCATTCCTATGGGAAACCGTGCTTCGCAAGACGAAAAATTCGCAAGACGAAAAAACTCGCAGAACGAATTAATTTCGTCTTGCGAGGCACCACTGTACTTTCTAAGCGGTGTATAAGTTTAGAAACGCTTGCCTGCTGAAATAAAGGTCTTCACCAAATCTATCTATCTATGTATGCACAAACAAACCACCTTCTCCTCATCTCATTTATTTCTTTTCCTATCTGTTCTTGGTGAAAGTAAATGAATAATCCCGATGAAGGTGGTTTGCTTTCTGTATCAGTTTTCTTTCTTTATGCCTAGCCCTCTGAGGGGCAAGCGTGTTCGTGTAATATGCATTAAGGCCTAGGCATTGCCATTAAAATGTTACAACTCCAAAGAAAGGGCATTCAAAGAGCAACAAATTTATCTCTGCAGAATACTCCATCCAGCATGCAACATATGAGAGCCATTTGCTTTGATTCAAGCGCTGCCAGCTATTGGCCGGGAAACAAGTGGGGTGGGGGTGGGGAGAGTGGCTTGGGAAAGTGCGTTGGTTGCAGCAAAAAGAGTGGAGAGTTTTTGTTTTTTTGCTTTTCTGGGATTGGTTGTTTCCTAAAGAGAGGAGACATCTATATCAAAACCAGAAGGATCATGGCAAGTTCCAAATAGATGGAATCACAATCAACTGCTTTGTTCTTTAATGGAATTTAAATGCTGATAGATATGCGTATTTGGGCAAACGTCCCCCCCCCGAATATATTAAACAGGATTATATCTTCTGCTTCAAATTCCTCCCTCCACTTTACCTCTCTCAAACAAAATCGAACTTTTCCTTTGCTGCTTTTGGACAAATCAAGATTCCATCACTGCGTGCAGCCATTGTGCATTGCACAGTGTAGACAGTTTCCCAAAAAGTATTGTTTCCTATTGCTTTCACAAATAGGTATTTATCTTATTATATAGCCCCTGTGCACATTTCACCTTTTCGATAAAATATCACTCATAATAAAACAACCACAACAACAGTCTATCCAACTGAATCACACAATCTAACAGGGTCTTGTGGCACATGGCTTTAAAATTAGTTGATAATAGACTATATAGTATATCCTCCTGGGGCCAGAACTATTCCTCTGGCCTCTGGATATTGATGGGAAGGGAATGACCACCATTTTTATGGTTTCTCAACCGAGAAGCTCCTGAGATAATCTTTATTCTGCATTCTTCTCTTTGCTGTTTTCTCTTCTTGGGGTGCATTGATACTCCCTCTTCTCCCCTGCCCCAAATTATTGTGTCATGCATAGCCAACAGCCCAACAACCACCCTCCTGCAACTCCTGCTGCCTTCGGACTCACCATGGGGGAACTATTACCACATTATCTTATAATTACCAATCAGTTACAAGCTGCAAAGGGATACATCACTGTCAGTCCCCTGAAGCAGAGGCAGTAGGAGGTGCAGTGAAAGCAACATACAGTAGATCTTTTGAGGGTAAACAACCATCTTGCCCTGATCATCACGGAGGAAGGGGAGGAGATCACAAATAAATAAGCAGAGCCTGCAACAAAACGTCAGTGTGCAGTGCTCCTATTTAGGGTTCTAGCCAACAAGCATCATCCTCTCCCAGGATACTCCATTACCTGATTCTGTGGGTTCTCATCCCCCTCAAACAGTCAAAAGGCATTTGTGTGGCTCCTGATCATACATTGCTCAGCATTCATTGAGAAGCTTGCTGTTCCCCGCCCCCCTGAAGAGTTTCTGCAAACCTTGGATTGCCTCAAGCTTGCACAGAGAACTGAGTTCACTACCACTAAACAATATGCTGTATTTTAAGTTGTTGCTATGCAATGAACTTGTACCAGAGGCTACATCTCTACAGCAACCCCTGTGCTCTCTGTTTGGTGCTCTAGAACAGTGTTCCCCAACCTTGGGTCTCCAGCTGTTTTTGGACTACAACTCCCATCATCCCTTGCTAACAAGACCAGTGGTCAGGGATGATGGGAATTGCAGTCCGAAAACAGCTGGAGACCCAAGGTTGGGGAACACTGCTCTAGAATACAACTGGGGAAGACCAGCCATGCAAATTGCACAGACGGCCACAAGTTCTTCTGTTGACTGTGCAAATGAGGAGAGGTGCCACAATTGGCTGAAACCTACTGTTGATGCGGACTGCAGGAAGCTGAGGTGCTGTGTGAGTACAACTGCAAAAACAAGTAATAGTGCGGATATGCCCCCACTCTTAAAGAGCTTACCTAGAATAAAAGAGGAGCCCTGCTGAATCTCATTTGTACCAGAATCCTGTTCCCATAGTGGCCAGCTAGATGCCTATAGGAAACCCTCAAGCATATACCTTCCAATACATATTTTCCCACCAGCAGGATTTTGCAGCTTTGCTAGTGCTTTGTACAAACTTTTGAAATGCACAATATTATTACATCCTGCCCTATCCTTACCCCAGTTGTGAGGCAACTGAAATGTCTATGGGTGCTTCCAGCTGGGGGCTTAATACTGCAAACTTACCATTCTGAAATTGCAAATGGGACATTGGCAGCAGGTGTGGTGTTGCTGTTTTTCTTTTTTTAAAAAAAAACCTGATTTTCTGTGAAAACTGTGACTCTGAATATAAAAGGTATGAAACACAGCCTAGCATTTTGATGCTGGTGTCATGGGCGTGTATGCGAGAGCAGTACCAGTCCCACAATAAACACCTGTCTGGAAGCAACCTATAATATACCAGGATGCAGAGAAATAGGGAAACGTACCTTTTAACTCTTCAAAACTGCAGCGGCAGCACATATCACCCTCCCATACGGATGAGATTGTAACATGATAACATAAGACGATCCCTGCTGGATCCGGCCACCTAGTCCAGCATCCTGGGGCTTGTCCACACCCAGGGGCATTATGGGGGGGGCAGTCCGCTCCGGGTGCCATTCCAAAGGGGAGGGGCAAAATGCCTACTCCCAATCGGCGACACCCCCTCAGGGAACGCACCACTCACCCCCATGGGTGGTGTGTCACGCCCCACAGGTGGTTCGTCACGCCCTCGCGATGTGCACCACGCCCCTGTCCAACACCTGAATATGTGGCTTTGCACCTGCCTGTCTCATTAATACAGGGATGTCCACATGATCCCAGTGTTGTCCCAGATCTTCCCCCCTTTAAATGCAAAGATTTTCAAGCTTTTAAAAGTCAGAAATGGCCATCTTGTGTAGTGCCTTTTTCTGGGGATACTCAAGGGTACACACCTTCCCCCCTCCCCAAGTTAAAAGTGTGGCACTTATTGTAACTTCATGGTGATTACTGGCACTTTAAAAAGAAAAAAAAGCACGGGACCCCCACATTTAAAGGGCAGGAAGGTCGTAGACAATACTGGGATGAGGAAGTTTCCCTGAGCTCTGCTCTCCTCGCTTGTGATTCCTGGCCTTGCAGCCTCCCACAGAATCTCCCAGGCACATGCGGCTTTTTTCATGAATTACCTTTGGTATAAATTACTTAACATAAATATACTCTAAAATTGGGTGCCTTTGCCTCAGTTTTCTGTATATACTGGGGACTAACGCTGAATACCCCTCCCCCCCACACACACACTGAGGCGCCCTTGAGATTTGTGCGCCTTCATTTTGCATGCAGCGACCACGAGCGCAGCTGGCAGGAAACCGCCTCGGGAGCCCGGCCAGCAACGCTCCTCCCGGCTTCCCCACACGCCGCCCGCCGGCCCCCAACGGGACACCCTGCCTACGCCTCCCGGAGCCTCTCGGCGGCCTGGCCTCCCCGCCCCCTGCGTGTCACAGGCGCTCTTTGCATAGGCGGCGCTCCCCGCCGGCAGCCCCCTTTATAGGCTCTCCCCTTGCGCCAGCCGAGGCCAGAGCAGGAGCGCGAGGCGAGGCAGGCAGGCAGGCAGCGCGCCGCAGCCCCACCTCCTTCGCCGCCACCGCCTCCTCTTCTTTCTCCTCCTCCTCCTGCTGCTCCTGCAGCAGCAGCGCCGCCGCCGCCAGCGTCTCCCTCAGACGCTCTGAGGCAGCTGCCCAGGCAGGAGCGGCGCGGCGTCCCTTACCTTGGAAGAGCGAAGACAGCCTCTCCTGGCTCGGGAGCAGGCGGCTGAAGAACCCGCCCGCAGAGGGAGAAAGGCGCCGGCGGAACCTGGGGCGAGGAAGGACCGGCCTCGTATCCATGCCGTGAGCTGCCCCGGTCTCGGAAGGCTGGACGGGAGCGTCCCCGAGGAAACGCCGGCTGTAAGTTTCTCTCCAGCCTCTTCCTGCGACCTGTTGCGTCGCGCGAGGGTTGCTGGTGCCCGGAGCGGCGCGCGCCGGGTCAATCAATGGATGGGGGGGGGGCGGGGAGATGGACGGACGGACGACGTTCCACTTTCTTCTGCCTTGCTCGAGCGGGCAGCCCTTGCATGCTGCCCGCCCGAGCCTGGGCAGGCTTACTCGGAAGCAAGCCCCTCCGAATTCAGACGGAGGCGCCTAGCATTTGCAGCTTTCAGCCCTGCGACCCACGTTCGCGAAGGGTTGCAACGTGCGCTTTTTGAGCATGCACAGAGCGCACCGCCGAGTGAGCACCCAGAAGCAGCAGCATCCACGAGTGTGGGATGGAGGGATAGTGAAGGGAGGGCGGTGTCGGAAGGTAGAACTTGAAAGTAGGATCGAGGCCCCCGCCCCTGCACTGTTGTTCGCTTTTTGAAATGCAGCTCGTGTGTGATGCGCCTGGGGTTTTGTTCCGAGGGGACAATTGTTTATACAGCGCAGAGAAAGGGAGCCTGGTTGCAGACAGGGCACGTTTCTGCCTTTCCGTCCCACAGGAAGAGGGAAGGTCAGAGGGTGCTGCTTGCTTCCTTCCTCTCTCTTCCGAGAGATGGCTCTGGCTTTTCTCTCTCCCTCCCCACCCCCCCAAGCTTCACTTCAAAGCGGAGGGAAGTGTGAGGCAGCCGTTGACAGAGCTTTTGTATTTCGTAGAGACGCACATGGCGCGCTGCTCTTCCAGGCAGCTGCTGAATGGGCACGTTAGGCGAGGAAGTCGGCTCTACATGTTTAGCATTTCAGGCGTCATAATCAAGAAGTATTTTGATCGGCGGAACCGCGAAGTAACAACGTGATCCATTGAAACATGAAACCTCCCCCCTTCTCTCTCTCTCTCTCCAAATCACTGGGAAATTTGAAGTATCTTATTTCAATAATAAGAGGTGGAGGCGTGTCTGTTCTATATAATTTTATGAAGCTGGGATTCTATCCACTATGCTCAAGTTTTCTGAAATAAAGAAAACTTAAAAATAAAGGATATTGGGAAATCCTAGTTAATCACTTTTTCACTTGTGGTCACTATGGAGAGGTCTTTTAAAAAGTAAATATATATATATATATATTTACCTATTCATTTTGAATATTTAAAACCCGATGCAAAATATTATCCAAACAATAACTTCCTGTGCTGGTTCAAGAAAGCCGGCTCATCTGTTTCTGCATTACTGTGTTTATTGCTACCCTGATAAGATGATAGAATAGTGACAGGTATTTGTATGAACCGTTGAACTATGGCTATGCATTTCTGTTTACCAGAAAAAGATTAATATTTTGCACTGACCAGGAGGTCTTTGTGAACCAAAATCAGTTTATTTAACAATATAATTGAATATTTTCCTAACCATAGATTAGTACATGTGATAAAGATTGATGAACTGTATCAGTATTTGCTTATTATTATTATTTATTTATATACTGCCCTACGCCCGCAGTTCTCAAGGCAGTTCACAGTAACTTGAGTCCACCCCTCATGCAGCTCCTGTGAAGTTTGAGAGAGGGCTGCACACAGGAAGCAAAAGAAGATTTTAGCCTTAGGGTATCTTCTTTTTCATTGGGTAAGGTATTATTGCTGCATATGAAAAACAGAAAGTTAGTAAGGGGATACCCTTATTGGATCAGCTGCTTAGAGCAAGGTGTGTGCAGATCTTTAGTTTTTCCAGATTTCATCCTAACACCAAAGAACTCTGAGACTTTCAGCTAGACTGTGCTTACCAGTGTGTGTTTCTTAAAAGTTACTCATGAATAAACACTCAGCTGAATTATTGAATAGTCACTGGAGATAGCATTTTAGTAACATGTTTGTTTTGTCTCTACCTGTCTCTACTCTTAATCTGCTCATTTGCTCATTGATTTGGCCAAGACTCCCAGTTGTCACAGTTTCTCTTTGGAGACTATGTGGAGCCTCCCTGTTCAGTGGCAATATATCTGTGAATAACAGGGGTGTGAGTGTGTGGGTGGGTTTGTGGAACAATGAATAGGCAATAGCCATTGGCACCATGACTTGCTTGTGAGATTTCAGAATCATCTGAATGCTATGTAGTTTGTAGGCTGGTGCTGGAAACAGATCAGACTAGATTGGTCTGGTCCAGCAAAGTATTTATTGCATTCTAGAAAGCTTTAAGAATGAGGACCATGAGCCATCAGTCAGTTGTGTAGTTGCTTTGATATGCTTCCTATTGAATTCCTATTAATGCAGCAGTGTTTCAGTATGAGATGCACTATGTGCAGATTACATGCTGTTAATTTTATGGGGGGGGGGGAATTACCTGAAGGGTGTTGCCTCATCTTTTTTGTTCAGTGTCTTTGCCAAGCTATCTTAGCTAAAATATTTGTGGCTTGCGTAATCTGCAGCAACAAAGGAGCAAAGTGTTTCAACGGATAGCTTTAAATGCAAAATGACTTATTCTAGTGGACTGTAGGACACCCCCATATGTCCAGATAAGCAAAAGTTCATAGAAATAGATGTGTTGAGATGGAGCCATATGAGAGAGAACCAGTTAGCCATAAGGTCATACTTTTCGTAACATGGTTCTGTTGCATTCTTAGAACCCTCTGTAATGAAATTGTATTAAAAAGCATTGGAATATTTATTTAGGCATTATTTCAAAAATAACAGTGATACTCTTGTATCAGTGTATTTTGAGTTATTGTTAGAAGCGTATAAGGAAGTGAGCATAAGGAAGTTGTGTGCTTTTTAAAAAATCCAGGTTTACTTGTTCTGCTCAGAATTCTTCTGAAATTCCAGTTTTATTATTTTTCGGATTCACAAAAGCTTGACACAGCACCCCTTTACAAGGGCATGGATTGCTGAAAAACCATACTGGCAGGTGACCTTCAGCAATCTGTATCGATGGGCTCTTTCCTGCTTTTGTTCCGTTTATGCAAATGCTGTCAGATTACAAATTGTTAATCTCTGCTCAGAGGAATTTTTTAACTTGAGACATTATCTTGTTTAGCTTCAGGCTTTTAACTTACATGTTAAGGACCTCCTCTTACGTGATGCTGTATAGCCACACCTTGGAGAGACTTGACTTACAAGTAGTACATGGAACCAGACCTGCTGCAGCTTCAAGTATTCCTTTTTGTATATTTTAAGTTTGAGCTGGTTTGCATGGCACAGTAAGCAAAACCTTGGCTTAGCAGGAGCACGTGAGTGTGCCGGCTCTCGCAGCTGCTTTGCTCTTTCCTTGTCCCCTTTGCTCCTGTGCTGGCACTGAATTAAGCCCAGGTTTCGCAAGGTGTGGTGAGCTCTCTCACCACTAGCCACAAGCCGTAGCCATGGTTTGCTTTTTTGCAAGAGCAAAAGGGACAGAGGAGGAGCCAAGTGGCTACTCTCTGGGAACACTTGTGTACGCTCACTAAACCAAGGTTTGGCTTAGTGTGTCATGCGAACCAGGCCACTGCGTGTTAAGCCACAGACTTTCTGTCTTCCTGCCCAGGACTACTTTTAGGAAGGTTTGATCCCTTCATAAACTTTTATGTGAGTAGAGTAGTAGGTCTGTCTAGAGTTTGTTTCACAAGCACAAAGGATCCTATCTGCAGAGGTCAAGTCAATATTATTTGTAGGATCAGATTTGATATCTTTCTTTCTTACCTAATCTGAGCAGGTATCTCAGATTTCTTAGGCTTCTTTTTCTCATGCTTTCTGCTGGTGACATAAATCTGGATTCAGATCATAATGATTTTCTGCAGTAGGCTGAAATGAGGAATGGATTCCTTCTAGACGTATGATGCCAACTGAGTTCAGTGGCTAGGCCTTAGAGGTTTTGGGGGATTCCTCCATCTGGCAGTAGTAAATTATAAATACTAAGGAAAAACTAGGCTAGTTCCACAGTACGTATTAGGTTCCAGCTGCAAGTTTTCACTTGATGATTCTAACTCAGGGGGTGATAACATCATCTAACTTTCCGGTAGGTATACCGGGGACTCCTTGAGGCAATGAGGTAAATGGTAATCCAAGATTAGTTTTTGGGGCTTTTGAATGCCAGGTTAATGTATGATTGTTTGTCAGATAATTTGCTTAGCTGTAAGAGCTAATAACAATTTTATTCTCTGTGTCTAATTTGATATATATGGTGAGACAACACAATCTTAAACATTTTTACTCTCAAGTAGAATCAGTGTGGTTTACTTCACGGTAACTGTGCTTAGGATTGCAGCCTGAGTCTGCATTTTCTTCTTAACTGCTCACACTGTACCATGTTAATGGAGAAATGTGAAACATTAGATTCAGCATGCAGATTATGCGACTGCTTTGCAAGATGTATCTCAGAAATTCACTTGCAGGGCTGTTCATTCCATACGAAGGCTGCAAATCCAGGTAATAAAAGGATTACTGCATATTTCACCATCAAGGTACGCCACATCTGTAATGCTGAGGTGTGCCAACTGTACGTTGTGGTGATCCACTGATGGATTTCCCCTCAAACTGAGGCTTTATTTCCCAAATCAAAGATAACTTCGTTCTGAGTAAATATTATTATTAAGATTGGACTGTAAAGCTTGAAAAGGTTCTAGTCTCATAGCAATTTTCACAAGTGCTTAGCAGGGAGCAGCACTTGTACTACAGAGGCTTCAGAAGCTAGCATGACAGCCAACACCTTCTCCATCAAGTGATACCGAATTAGGAAAACCTGCAGAGTAATCCAAACCCCTGATCTGCCATGTTGAAGGAGGTTTGGATGCAGTGGAGGTGTACCCCCCACCAGCAGAGGAGCCCCCACTAGCAGAGAACACCCCCAATACACCTACCCAAGTGGTAGGCTGGTTGAGTTGGTGGTGGTGTCATCACGATGGGATGACTGTGGGCCCAGTCTGGACCTCTTGTCCTAGCCTGGCCTCCCATTTTGTGCCCTAGTTGGTGTGTCCATTAGGGCCGTGATGGTGCCGTTTCTCCACTGTTGCTGGCCAGAGGTTAGAGATGTCAACTAAATCCTCAAATATGAGTTGGTTGGTGGACTGTCTCCTCCCCTGTAGCGGCTCTTTGCCTTTGCTCAAGGGCATTGTGCTTCTAATCAAGCATTGTGGACATACTGTATTATGAAACATACCTACTTTCCCTGAGCTTTATGTATGTCTAGGGTATGGTCACGTCCAGTGCTTTTTTTCAATAAAAATAGGTGCCGGTATTCACCAAAGTTGTTAAAAGTAAGTGCCACACTCTTTAACAACAAGGAGAGGTGCCAGTACTGCGTACTCTTGAGTGCCCCCTGGGGAAAAAATCACTGTCCGCGTCCTTTCTGGTGTCCTTTCATATCTGACTCATCACCCAGCTGCAGATTAATGAATAGTTCAGCTTCTCTTTCTTCTGTTGACACTTTCTGCTTGGGTGACAGGCTTAGTCTTGTGGGAAAGTTTCATGGAGGCCATGCAAATTATAACTTTCTGCTCTCCAGACTTCCTTCACTCCTACCTCTGGACTGTGAAGACTTACTTAGGCTCTTATTCTGTGGGCTGTGGTTGTTTCTATGAAACTTGAATCAGAGCTGGTCTGACCTGCACAGCAAGTAGACCCAACCCCACTGGACTTTAAACTCAGTTATGTTATGAGTGAGAGAACTTTTTGCTGTGGTGTGTTAAATCTTCCTCTCCTACCTGTGTTCTCTTGGTGCCCAAAAGCCTCCTCTATCTCATGGGGCAAAATGTCTCGACTTGAACCTGGAACCATTAATAAAGACCTATCAGGCTGCAAGGCTCTATTTTGTTAGGGTGCTGGCTTATAGATCTCTCTTGCCATGGCCTTGTATCCCTTGTCACCAAATCTGAACTTACATGCGCAAGGGCATAACCCACTTGAGATTAATGCAATAGTTTTTGCTCTCAAAATTAAAGGATACTCCAGAACTCGGGCTCTATTTTGTTTTAGCATATTATTAAATCACAGTGCTTGCCATCTTAGAATATCTGCTACTCATAACAGAAAGTAAAATATGCTAGGCATGGTTTCGGTCTTTCCTTTTACATACCTTTTTGGTGTGTTTGGAATGGTTGTATGAGGATAGTATCTTAATGAGTTTCATTTGTGGATGTTGGTGCTCCAAGCAGTATTTTTACATTCCTGAATGTAGTGTGTCTTGTTGCTCATCCTGCTATGATTCAAAGCACAACAATGTTTTAAATATGTGTATCTGCATATTTGGTGAATCAGCTGCTCTGTACTGGGGAGGTGTGACAAAAATCAGAGCTGTCTCTTTCCCCTCTTTTCTGAGTTACAGTGCCAACATATATTGAATGAAAGTAGGATATCTAGTTTGCCAAGATAAACCTGCTATCTTGAGCAACAATTTTCAGAATATGCCAGTCAAGAAATTTGTATCAGAAAAACACAAACAGGCTCAATAGTCTGTGTCTTCAGCTTCTTGCTCAGAATTCGGTTACGTTTTGTAAGATGTGGGCGGTGGAGGAAAAGAGAATATCATCATCATTGTTATCTCCTGAGACTTAACTGTATTTTTTTATGTTTAGGTGTGGAAGAAAATGTCAGTCAGCATGCATGAGAATCGCAAATCTAGAGCCAGCACTGGCTCCATAAACATATATCTGTTCCACAAATCTTCATATGCTGATAGCGTTCTCACTCATCTAAACCTTCTGCGCCAACAACGTCTTTTTACGGATGTACTTCTCCATGCTGGGAGCAAGTCATTCCCTTGCCATAGAGCTGTCTTAGCTGCTTGCAGTCGATACTTTGAAGCCATGTTCAGTGGAGGACTCAAGGAGAGCCAAGCCAGTGAAGTCAACTTCCATAATTCCATCCACCCAGAGGTTCTAGAACTTCTCCTGGACTATGCATACTCCTCAAGGGTCATCATCAATGAAGAAAATGCTGAGTCTCTTCTGGAGGCTGGAGACATGTTGGAGTTTCAAGACATCAGAGATGCTTGTGCAGAATTCCTGGAGAAAAATCTCCATCCTACTAACTGCCTCGGCATGCTGCTTCTGTCTGATGCTCACCAGTGTACCAAACTCTATGAGCTCTCTTGGAGGATGTGCCTTAGCAACTTCCAGGCTATCAGCAAAAGCGAAGATTTTCTCCAGCTCCCAAAAGACATGGTTGTGCAGCTCCTGTCTAGTGAAGAATTGGAGACTGAAGATGAACGTCTGGTGTATGAGTCTGCCATGAATTGGATTAACTATGATCTGAACAAACGCTACTGTTATCTTCCAGAACTTTTGCAGACTGTGAGACTGGCTCTTTTGCCAGCCATCTATCTGATGGAGAACGTGGCTACCGAGGAGCTTATCACCAAGCAAAGGAAGAGCAAAGAGATTGTTGAAGAAGCAATAAGGTGCAAGTTGAAGATTTTGCAGAACGACGGTGTCGTCACCAGTTTGTGTGCGAGGCCTCGAAAAACTGGCCATGCCCTATTTCTTTTAGGAGGACAAACCTTTATGTGTGACAAGTTGTACCTGGTTGACCAAAAAGCAAAGGAGATCATCCCCAAAGCTGACATCCCAAGCCCAAGGAAAGAATTCAGTGCATGCGCTATCGGCTGTAAAGTCTATATTACAGGTGGCCGGGGATCTGAAAACGGCGTCTCTAAAGATGTTTGGGTGTATGATACACTTCATGAAGAGTGGTCCAAGGCTGCTCCCATGCTAGTAGCTCGGTTTGGTCATGGTTCTGCTGAACTCAAACATTGTCTATATGTTGTTGGAGGGCACACAGCAGCCACTGGTTGCCTCCCAGCTTCTCCTTCAGTATCCTTAAAGCAAGTAGAACAGTATGATCCTGTGACCAACAAATGGACAATGGTTGCTCCACTTCGAGAAGGAGTAAGCAATGCAGCTGTAGTCAGTGCAAAGCTGAAGCTGTTTGCCTTTGGCGGTACCAGTGTCAGCCATGATAAGCTCCCCAAAGTTCAGTGTTACGACCTTTGCGAAAACAGATGGACAGTACCAGCCACCTGCCCCCAGCCATGGCGATACACAGCTGCAGCTGTTCTGGGCAACCAGATCTTTATTATGGGTGGAGATACTGAATTCTCCGCATGCTCGGCTTATAAATTCAACAGTGAAACTTACCAGTGGACTAAAGTGGGAGATGTTACAGCTAAGAGAATGAGCTGCCATGCAGTAGCGTCGGGAAACAAGCTGTATGTTGTTGGGGGATATTTTGGCATCCAGAGATGCAAGACGCTAGATTGCTATGACCCCACTCTCGATGTATGGAACAGCATAACCACAGTGCCCTACTCCCTAATTCCCACTGCATTTGTGAGCACATGGAAGCATCTCCCTTCTTAACTGCATGGGTGCCTATACAGGTAAGAAACCACACCTGCAAGTTACAAGTTGCTATATATCTTACCCATAAGCTCAAGAGATTCAAATGTTGATTATAATGCTTTTTGTTAGTGGAATAAGGCTGGTGTGATTCAGCCAATGCCATATCATGTTGACAGAATCAGGAATAGAACCCCACTGTCTTAATTAAACCTCACTGGCTTGCAATATAAGATCAGTTTGCGCAAGGTGTTTTGTTCAGCACTGTGAGCAGTCCTAATTGTCCCCAGCTATGCATTTGTGTGGGCAATATAATGATGGACTAGTCAAACATAGATAACAACCATTAGTAATTCATGGCACAAGAATTGCTTTTGGATGTATTTATGATTATTTGCTTCACATGTTATCTTCCTTTGTGCAAGTATGTACTTGAGGGTAGTTGGAGACCGCTTGCACATAGATATAGAAATGAAAATATCAAAACTTTTTCCCCCTGATACTGGATAGCATTGTCTGAACTACATGAGATTTAGCTTATTCATGAAATTATCTACTAGACTCCTGTTACAACTCCTATTACTGCTTTACTAACTACACTATCTGGAAATAAGTTAAATTGACTAATTGCAGGGAAATATATTTGCAATCATGGAGCAAGCAGGATAGTTGTTGGCCTTAAAGTATAAATAAGCAACTTCATCTGTTTGCATGGACTACATTTTTCGAAAATACATTTGGTATAGACCATCAAAGGGAAAAGCTGTGGGCTTAGGTAGTTGAACTTGGTGGAAACAGGACTATTTATAACATTTAAGTAGAAAGCTTCTGCTTGTGAAGGAAAAAAAGAGTTTAGTTCCTGTGCCCGATGGTGAATCACGCTGACCTTATGCTTAAAAGAAGACATGCCATTTGGTTCAAGTAATAATTTGGTCTGCAAACTCAGAGCGTTCCAAAGCCCATAAATTCTACTTTATAGTACAGTGCAGCGGCCCAAGTTCTCACCTGATGATGTGGGCAGGTGCATTGCTGGTGACTTCAACGGAATGGCATCTGCCTACAAGCAACTCTGAATTTCAGCTTGGTCATGCAGGTGCTTGTACTGTTCTCTTGCTGGTGCAAACATTTCCCCCCTTTTTTTCTCCAATTTTGAAATGCCAGTGAAGCTTCCTCAAAACATAGCCTTTTCTTAACAGTTAGCCTCCTATCACTGTCTTTTGCTGTTCCAAAGTGGTAAAATATATTTTAAGGTAAATTTGCAATCCTAAGCACACTTGCTTGGAAATCAGTGCAGAGGGGCTTACTTCTAAGTTAACTTGTACTTCCAACACCCAAGTGTGGGTGTTTTTCCTTTTTCCCTGGGATGTGTGCAGCCCAATACAATTCATAACTGTCTGTTGGCTTTAAAAAATCATTAAAAACAACAACAACAAAACCCAGACTTGGTTATTAACTAGCAGTGAGGCTACTCCAGTGTAAGTAGTCTGAGAAATGCAGTTCATGCTACAAGATGCTTGCACTGTATTTTCTTCCAACAGTTGGAAGCTGCATAATAGGCCTGTAAAGCCAGCCAGGTTGTAAAGACTCTTTGATATTCTTTCCTTGTGAAAGTTACAATTGGTGGGTAGATTAAAAGGAACTAGCTGAGTGGTTTTTGCAATAAAAGTTGGACAAACTATTGCCTCTGTAACATAGTAAATAGCAAACAAGGAGCGCCATTAGACATAGCAATAAAAACTATTGCAAATTGGGCCACCGAAGTGTAGAAACACCAGCCAATATGGTTGCAGGATCACAGCCTTAATTCCAAAGAACTCATAGTGGGGAACCTGCATGCTTGAGGTTCTCAACCATTGGCCTATAGATGCTCTCAGACCATTCACTGATATCACTTGTATTTGAGAATAACCTGCATTCCAAAGATGATAATTGTGACTGTCCCTTGACTAAAACAATTAAGCAAAATAACAATAGCAACAGCAGCAACAACAAAAATCACATCAACCTTCCTAGAGTGCAGTAGTGTTTCTTCAGATCACGCTATTTGTAGTCTATTGTTTTAGCGGCCATGGATGTGATTATCTTGCGAGTAACAAATCCTTCACTCCAAATTGTCCCCAGAGAGACAGTGATGCGGTCTTTCAAGATTTCCCCGAATTGTTCTAAAAATAACAACCGTAATAAAACAAATGGGTATCGTGTACATAATCAGAGGACTGCCCTTTCATGTTAGCAAGGGCACAGAGCAAATTTGCTTGCTGTGCTGCCCATCTCGGATATCTGCTCTCCCATACACTCTGTAGACACAAAGCCATTCCTTAGCTTCTGTAATGCATTAAGATAACTGTAGAATTCAGTCTCTAGGGCTGCATATACATCCAGCAAATAGATCTCTTCTCTTCTTCTTTTTTTTACTGTCTCCTGCTGCTTTCTCAGTGGGAGGGAGGGACAGAAAGGAAATTGCTTCTGATTGCGCTCTGTTTTCATGGTGTTGTGTGGCCCCAGCCTGACAGCAGTTAGGAAGATCTTAAGTGTGCTTTGTCTCTTCTCTCAGACTTGTAGGCTCTGGAGCAGGGGACCCCTATCCCACCCCCCCCCCAAAAAATGTGAATACTGGTTTCAGTGGCTGGAGTGGAAGTTGAGGGGTGGGGAATGACACACCAGGCACAAGAATGCGTAGAAGATCAGCAGGAAATATTTCAAAAATAATGAAGGGGCTGTATCTTTAATCTGCAAGAGGCGATGAGCTAGGGCTGCAGATTTATCCTGAATGCGCTCTTCTGTACTGCGGTTCTAGTACAGTGCTTTCAGTTTAAGGTTGACTTGAGCTTTCAGTAACACACATGTACATTCAAATCAGTCGCACCAAGTTAACTGGAGCAGTTCTGCAATTACCCCAGCGGAAATCCCATCAAACTTTGCCTCATACATTCTGGCAGAGCTATTAATTGCTACTTTAAAAACCAGCGTGGTGCCTGGTTTGAAAACTGGCTCTGAGCATAATAATGAAGTGAGAAGGTGGAGTCTGGACGCCAAAAAAAAACCGCCGGGTCCAAAGCCAATATTTTGCGCTGCATAATCAACGCACGGGGTTGGGGGTGGGGAGAAGGATTCAGTGCAGAGGCATTGAAGCATACTACATTGTCACATGACAAAGCACAGCAAAGCAGAGTTCTGACATAATGAATAGCAGAAACGTTTTAAATAAGGGGATTAATATGTCTGCCATTCATATGCTGAATCAATTCTATTCAGGATTCTCCATGGTTAACAGAGGGCATTGGTTAGAGATTTTCTTTCCAACAGGCTGGCTCCCCGCCCCCCCCCTTGGCTAGTTTGATTTGGCTCATGACCAAAATGACTGTCTTGCTACTTCTGCCAGCAACTTTACATTACATGAATTTTTATTCTGTCTCTCTGTCACATTATCTGTTCATGCAGCTCACAGGAGAGTTCCATACTGGATCAATCAATCAATCAATCAATCAATCAATCAAATTGACCCCCCCCCCCGTGTTACTTATACAGTGGTACCTCGGGTTACATACGCTTCAGGTTACAGACTCCGCTAACCCAGAAATAGTACCTTGGGTTAAGAACTTTGCTTCAGGATGAGAACAGAAATTGTGTGGTGGCGGCAGCAGGAGGCCCCATTAGCTAAAGTGGTGCCTCAGGTTAAGAACAGTTTCAGGTTAAGAACGGACCTCTGGAATGAATTAAGTACTTAACCCGAGGTACCACTGTATTAGGCAGAAACCTTTGCTGTGAATGCTCTCAGAAGGAATGCTTAACAGTGCAATCCTATACATGTTTACTCGGATATAAGACTCATTAAGCTGAATGAGACTTACTCCCAGGTAAATTTGCATAGGTTTGCGGCCTAAAGTTATATTGCGGCCTATATAACTTTGATATTTGTAGTCTGTGAGCTATCGGCTGCTGCTTATTAGACAAGTTCTAAAAAAGGCACCAGCATTTTCTATAAACTAGGCCTGACATTGAAAGTCTTATGGTATGTTGTTTCATCGAATCCCTCTAAACTTCCTTCCTTTTTATTTATTTCTTTTAGCTTGTTCCATTATTTGGTGAAGAAATGTTGGAACTGTGGAGAAGCAGCTTTAATGAAGAAGAAAAAAACTGTTCCTTTTTATTTTGAGTTTGAAGAAAATATTCTGCACCTTCTAAATTCTTAAAAAGCTGGAAATGAAGGAATGGGAGGGAGAATGTTGTCTTCAGTATATCAGCACATAGTTTAACTATGAATGAATGAACCTATGATCCGATCCCTGTGTTAGTAATTGTGGATTAATGTCAAGTTTAATCAGCCCTTCAAAGCGGGGGGAAGCTGAACTTTTCAGAGCTGCACAACACAGCACAAACCCTCGATTTTCATGGACTTTGCTGTTTGTGTGCAAAATTTGAAATGGTTGTCACCTCTCCTTTGTGACAGCTTGAAGTGTCAGCAGCAGCTGCTGAGGAAATGGGCCAGGTCTGGAGCAGCAAGATGTCTTTGTGAATGAAGATGCAGCTGTATCCCCTGCCACAGGGAAGGGCTTGTTCTCTTAGGCAGTGCCTGGAGCATCGGTTCAAATTGCTGAGCTGCATTGTTGTAGCTGCAGCGAGTGACCTTCTACTTGCTAAGGAGCAGCACACCTATTAAAAAAGAGAGAAAAAAAGGAGGTTTTTTGCAGCATTTTGTGGGCGAAGGGAAATAACTCTATTTTCCCCACTCCCCACGCATTTGATTTCCTCTTGTATTTATTAATTACGACTGTCCTACTCTTAAATTGTTACTTGTTGTAGATATAGCTATTTATTGTTCAGTGCTTGCATGCGGAGGGAACGATGCCTACAGTTGTCTTTTAAGGGCTTATGTGAATCGTATGTTTTGCACATTCTGTGGTCTCGTGACTTGCTGTGCTGCACAAGAAGAAAAAGTGCTGAGTAATATTTGGGGAGAGGAGAAATGAGGTAAGGAAATTGAAGGATTACAAGGTAGCATCTTAAATTACACGTATACTGAAGGAGGAAGCCATGGAGGTCACTTTCTCAGGCCACTGTTTTGCGTGGCTTGCCAGTGGTATCCCTGTTACACTTGATTTGCCTAGCGTTACCTTTTTTTTTTTTGGAAGGAACTCATCTGGAAGTAGCCACTGTCACTTAACAGTTTTCTTCTTGTGCAGCCTCATCGCTACTGGAAAAGGGGTGTGTGTGGAAAGCCCCTGCAGAATTAATTTACACAGAGCCCTGTTCATGGCATTATCCAACATTTTATTTTTGTTTATTTATTTATTTAAAGTTAGCCGATGGGATGTCTACTATGGACCCACTTCATCCAACCGTGGGAAGTATTTTTGATTCAGAGATACACAGCAAAATAAGTGGGGAAGCGTTTTTTTCTCCTTTATTTTTTAAAATTAACACCGACTCTTTGTCCATCCACTTTTGAATTTGAATTGTACACACACACACACACACACACACACATACCATCAGTGTCTTACAAGGTTTGGCATGATTGTTAGGATGACAAAGGAGAAAAGTTGCTCAAGCATTGGTTTAATAATAATAATAATAATAATAATAATTCCTTCATTAATTAGCAAGTTAAGCTTTCAAATGCATACTATCTGGAAGCATCACATAGGATCACGATCAAAGTCCCATCCCCTGGAATTTATTTTTTTAGTTCTTACTTTCAAGCCTGATCATTCCATTCCATTCTTGGTTTGTTTATTTTTTCACACTTTGTGTCTTTGCCAGACTTTTAGTTGTGCTATCCATGAGAATCGGTGCAGCTCAACCAGCGTAAAGCTGCCAGTCCTCATTGTGATTGGTTGTCTTGTCTTAATGTTGTATAAGCAAAATTACTTTAAAATGCATGCATGCATGCCTAAAAGGAATTATGATGATGCCTGCCTACATAATGATGATGATGATGATGTAGCTCAACTCTTCACACTCTTCACCATATGGGAAACACAGTAATCTTACATTGCATTCCTTTGAGTGCTTACACAGAAGTAAACCCACACCGCATTGCGTGGGGCTTACTTCTTAGTAAGTATGTTTAGGATGGCATTATCAGTCTTAAAACTCTTCTCATGCTGCCATAGGCTAATTCTGCAGACTCAATTACGTGCATTTCTTATGTATTCCTATTCGCTTTAATGAGAAATGGGTGTGTGTGCAATTTTGCAAATAGCGAGTAGTGGTTCTTAGCATGGCTAGCCAGAAAGGTTTTTAAGAAACACTGAACAGTATGCACCATAAAGTTTGATTTGCAGACCACTGTTTTGATTTGCATGTTTTTGACCAGCTTTGACATTTTCAGGTATTACAGCTGTATCAAGGGAGGCTGTTTGAGTGGATTCTAGAACAAAGCTCTTTTCAAACTTTGATTCAAATGTACCGAGTGCCTGGGGTGGAGGAAAAATGAAAGTGTTCCTAAATGCCATCGATCATTTTTCAGTGTATTGGCTATTGAGGGCCAGTACCCTCAGGACAGCTGCACTGGGGTGCAGTAGGACAGGTGATAAGATTTGCTGCAGGTCACTCTCTGCTCTAGAAAGGGCTGTTGGCATTTACTGTTTGTTTGTTTAAGAATCACTTGCTCAAGTTGGCTCTGAAAAGGATTCTTATACACAGCAACAACATAAAATGCCAGTAAGTTTAGTAAGAAATTGTGAAAGATTGGAAACTCTCTTTCAGGTAAAGCATAGTGGATGACTTAAAAACCTGGGGAAAGCTATAGAACATTGCTTTTACAAACAAACAAAAAAATACCCAAACTTAAATTTGGTTTGTATAAAGTCTACCACCACAAACCCTTTATGCAAGGGTTGTCTCTCACTTTTGGTTTGGAGGTGCCTCTGTCCTCCCATAAAAGAAAAAATAACCTGTAAAGCCTTGCCGAACTATAATCATGTTTTTGCATTCACTTAACACAGGCATGCATTACTCCCAAGGTGTTTTGAGTAAATGGCTCAAAACCCTTTGTTTAGGGAAGTGACAGAATCCTGTCTGCAGCAGCTCTCTCTATAACTGTTTAGCTTATGACACAAATCTGTTTTGTAATACCATCCAATTTCCTGAAGCGCCTGAAGTCTCCACAGTTGTATTTCAAAGCAGTGGTTTGCTTTCAAGTCCTTGGATTTAATTCCTGGGCCTAGGTTGAAGAAAACAAAAAACCAGGGTGGCCCCTAGCCCTGCAGGCAAATATTTTGGGTTCCCGCTCTTTGAATAGACGTGGGAATCCTGGCTTACTACTTGGCGATTCCAGTCCGAAAAACACCCTACACTTCTGAGAGAAATGCAATTCACACCAGAGTACACACAAAAACCTTGGCATAAGACGAGAAAAGTTCTTATTTTGTGGGCTGGTTGCTGTGGAAACGTGGAACAAAGGACAGCCTACCACTTCTGGTATAATTGTGTAGGCCCTTTTTTCTAGGCCTGACACCTGTCTGAATAAGAGTGATTAGAGCTGAATAGTGTCCCTTGTCTGACAATTGAAGATGCGGTTCACGTACAAAAAAACGGGGGTGGGGGAGGGGGGAGGAAAGCCGTACCAGTGAAGAAGTAAAATATCTATGTTGTCTCTCTTTGTTTGCTACTACATTCTGAGGTTTTGTAAAACTGCATTTTTTTTTCACAATGTGAAACTGAAGGTCAATAAATTATTAGAGATTTTCTCTTCAATGAACAAGTTCTCCTGAGGTTTTATTTCACTAGCAGAAATGTTTGGGTCCATTTAGACACTCACCTTAACAAAAAACAGGGCATCTCCAAGAAGGAGCTTGCAGATTTCCTTTAAATGTCTGCTTCAGTTACACTTGGAATGCTCCCCTTTGTCCTGTCCTGTCACTCTTGCTATGAACTAGCTCTGAAAGTTCAACAGCTAAAATGACAGGAGCTTTAAGACAGCTCTGTGGACAGGAAATGCAAGAGTTTGTAAAAATCCCCCTGCCCCATAGCTCTTGAAGCATGGCTTAGTGACTGATATTACTTCAGAAGGAAATTATGCAAGTCAAATCCTGCAGTATTATTCCTGAGGGGGAGAAGGGAAAAAAAGATAATGTGGGTTTCTATAAAATGCATGCCTTTTAGTTTTTAATGTGTCGTAAATAACGTTGAGTTTCCTATTTGCTTAGCACTCATCGAGTCCAAATCAGGGATGGGCCCCTTTCTGATCATTGGCTCTTCTGCAAATCCACTTTTTTTTTACGTTGTTTTATGTATTCATGCAAGCGCACAGGTGAAACTACAAAAAGAATTCTGATGCCATCATGGGATAATCTGCTCAGGAAATGGCAAAGTCAGCATTATGACACAGTAATCTTGATGTAATCATATAGATGTGGTTGGTTTTTGTTTTTTACAGTGGGGTGGTGGTAGATAAGACATAAAGGAACAGAAAGCTGCGGTAAACTGCATGCACTGCATTATGTTAAAAATTTGGAAATAATCAACTTAAGGTATGGTAAATTCTGAAAGCCTTGGTGGCAGTGCAGAAATAAGACCATGAAATTCAAAACACTAAAGTCCAGGGAGAAATTTGGATGAGTTGAACTTCAAAAGCATTCTTAGTCTTTCGGTTAACAAACTGTGAAATCCAGTCAAAGATAGGTATGTTTTGAGTCCCAATGTCTTAATTTATTTCTGAATGAAATTTCACATAGTTCAAATACACTTAATTTTGGATTGAAAGTTACCGGTACTTAATTTTGGTTAGGGAGGCCTTTGGGATTTATTTATTTTTAAATTAAAGAAGGGAGATCAACTCTTAAGTACCCTTATTTGAAGGACACTCTTTTTGTTTAAAACAACAACAAACCAACAAAAACAATGTTCAGGTTCTCAGGAATCATAAATGTGATCACATAACCATTTGAAGAGCTAAAGACTGCACACTGAAACATGCAGAGTATTCTAATGTTACAGGAGGCTCTTATTTTAAGCCTTCTGAGGTGCAATTTCTTCCCATATTTCTACATATGAGTTTTTATTAATAAATGATTACTATTTATTAAATTGTATACTGCCCCTCACCTGTAGCTCTCCGGGTGGTTTGCAGCATAAAAATACAAGCTAAATACACAGAATACATAATAAAAACAAGAACAAAACAAGCCAACAGCCTCCCTCCCCCTCCCATAAACACATTTAAAATTTTATAGGATGCTAGTTGACTAAAGGTCTGGTTGAAGAGGAACATTTTTGCTTGGTGCCTAAAGATGTATAATGGTTCGCCAGGCGAACCTCCCTGGGGAAAGTATTCCACAAATTGGGAGCTACTGCAGAAAAGGCCCATTCTCGTGTTGCCACCCTACAGACATAGTAAAAGACTCTGTTATAGGTCATAACCAGCGTTTTGAGTTGTGCCCAGAAATGGACTGGCAACCAGTGTAGCTGTTGCAACTTGGGAATCACGTGCTCTTATAATTGGAGGTCCAGGGCTTGATGGCAGGAATGTGTTGTGCCAAACAGAACAGAGGTAACATCAAGAACAAGCCAAGGCCAATCCTTGGGTCAATGTACAGTGGGGGCATACTTCATCCCTAGGCCAGGGGTGGCTACCTTCACTACAGGGCAACCCTCTGATGCCCACTTGCCAGAAGTGGCCATGGCCAAAGCAAAACCACTGGGGCCAATGAAGTCTTTCCTTCTAAGCCTAACTGCAGCACGGGGGGGGGGGGGGGAATTTTCATTGTGATCATGGTGACAATGGAGAGGGTTAAGCCTACCTTCTCAGATGCTGCGTTACCAATGAAAATTGTCTTGTCCCAATGCCTGTAATCAAACAAGGAAGACAACAACCATGATTGCAGGCTCCACAGTTAGCACTGCATGGAGCTCAGCCCTCTGACTTAGGGATGGGCCAACCTGTTGGTTCAGTTCTCGATATTTCTGCAGCAATTTGCAAATGTTAGTTAAAATAATCCTCATGAAAACTCACCAGCATTTTGGTGTGAATTGCTCTTAGTAAACACATTTTTGTATGCAGTTTTGACTAATGTACACATTTCTGGGAGCAATCCTCCCCCCCCCAAATATTATTGTATGTTGTATGCACACTTTACAACAGTATGTCCATTTTTTGTACACATCACTTGGCTGGGCAGCTGCACTGCAAGATCAGGAGAAGTGCAAAATTTAAAGGGTTACTGTCTGCGTTTGATTCAGAAAGGATGAATTAGGTAAGTTCATCTTTAAATTTCTCCTCCATCCCAACCTCAGACTGTCTTAGAATCATAGAACTGTAGAGCTGGAAGGGACCCTGTACTGAATCAACTCCCTGGTCCACATTGCACTGGTCCACATCTTTTTTGACTGAAACAGTCCTCCAAGGTCTTAGACACAGGACCTTCCCTACCCTGCCAACAGGCATCTGGCAAGGATTGAACTGATGCTCTTCTACATGCAAAGCATGCATGTGCCACCTGAGTTAAGCACACAAAGCTCCCTTTGTAAAAATGCAAAAGATTCCATGTGCTCCAGCGCCTAAAATGTGCATATTGACAACAAGGCCATCTGTCTTGTATGTGACTTCCATAACAGTTCACAAATGGAGAGCATCCTTTTCGGTTGGAGACCCCACAGTTAAGAGTGTAAGTTAACCTCAGGAGCAGAAATGTGTGTAAGACACGACCAGGCATTCTAATGTGTTTGGTTAAGTAAATTACAGGCCCCTTATAATCAGGTTTGGGCTATGCTTTGGAACTAACAGTGCTCGGAGGAACTAATTTAGGCAACATTTTCTCCCCTATGCTACTTTGATCAGTTACCTTAGCAACCATAATCTTTATCTCTGAAGAGGTGGGGAGCTGTGAAAGAAGGAAAGCAGGAGAAACTGCAGCAAAGACTCTTGCTAATCCTCCTCTTATGCCGTCAGATTTCAGCTGCTATTATTTTACACTCGCATACTAGGTGGTACTGGGGAATGTCCTCTGAGATGATGTGCTGATGCTGCATGGTTTTTGTTTGATGCTTTGATTTCACAGAAAAATCTCACGGCTGGCTTCACGCTGGGTGCTACTCAGATGATATATTTCAGTGGAATTATACAATCCAACACATAAATGATAATCGTTATCCCAGCTGTTGCACCGCCAGTCAGAAGAGCTGGAAGAATTTTGCAAGAATATGTGGAAACCTCTGTGTAGTTGTGGTGGTCAGTTCCGAAAGCTGGCAAGGTCAGGCAGCTCCCAAGGACAGCGGATGGAAATAAATTTGAGGGATCTCAATGTGATGCTCCTCTTTGTCCTCCTAGCACACAGGAGGCGATGCTCAAGGTCATCCCTTGCAGGTCTGAAGCCAGTCTAAAAGTTTGGACTGGGGCACCAAAGAAGTTGGGAGTAGAGTAGAGTTGCTAAGCTGGTTGGATGGTGTCTTCTATGCCTCCTTCTGGCAACTCCTGCTGGTGCCAAACGTATTGCTCTGCTTTCCAGTGAGGCAAGGAGGAGGTATTGTCGTCTGGGCAGCCCAGGACCTCACTTTTGCTAACACAACAACGCAGGTGCAGTGATTTTCCAGTGGTTTGACTTTACCCCTAGAGGCGCACTCCATTGTCTCTCAAGACAGATGGGTGTCAACATTATTATATTAATTTATTATAATGACCATAATGATCATTATTACTGTTACCTGAAGAGGTCCTGCAGCAGCAGCAGGCCAGGTTGGAGGGCAACTATTTTGGGGGTTAGCAGAGCACAGCATCCTTCTACTGCCCTTCCTTCTGTTCTTCACCTGTTTGTTTTTATCCTTCCTTCCATCCATCCATCGTCTGGCTGCCTTGGCTTTCCCTTTACTCTTCCTCAGTTTTCCTTAGCTCCATTCACTTCCTTGTTCCCTCCCATCAATCTTATCCTGTGATACGTAGAGAAACCTGGAGATTGGTTTCAGGCACACTAAAAATTGTGTATAGACAAGCTGAACTGCTATGGGAGGGACATCTTCATTCAGCTACTTTAGAACATGGAAGTTTGATAATTATATAACAAGACAATGAGAGTGAGACTTGACTCCTGTTTCTAGAACCTGTGTAGGTTTAAAGCTCAAAGTGACAATTTCCCCCTTCCCTCACAGAATTTGGACTGCATGTATTCTGACAGTTTTGTGTCCTAAGCAGTTAGAATGTTCACAAACATTTAATGCTGTTGTATCAATCAGTGTCAGGGCCTTTACTGCCAGAAGAGCAATAAACTGACACTATTGGATGGCAAACAGTCAATTTCACTCCAAAGAGGAACTTCAAAAGACAAGAAAATGTCCTGTTATAGAGAGACATTACCAATAAGGGCAAGTAGCTATGCACTGGTGTTTTTTTCTTTTTAAAGAGTGGCATGTATTTTATTAAACTCTCTCCCTCGTGATTATGTTCTTGTTTGCATCAGAGTTCAGAGAGCATTTGTATTACCAGCAATGGTAGAGACCATTTGCCCCATTGCCAAGAATAATGTCAGTCTGCACCACACAGTTTTAAAGTCTCTGGGTACCTTTTGTTACATTTTCACTTCTTTTGATAAAAACAATAGAAACTGAGTCTGACTTAAATCTGGCTCTGGGAACCCAGGGGTGGTAGAAGGATTCTCTATCTGATTAGCAGCTTTATTTGTCACCATCTAAAGCTGGACACAGGTCTAGAGTCATGATCTGCAGCCCCCTATAAGTTCTCTAGCATTGTAATTGGACCTTGACCTCTCTGAAAGCAGGAGGTGACTCAAAGAAGTTTCTGAGAAATCAGACCTTCTAATCTGGATGAAGGCCTGAATGAAAGCCTTGTTAGGGGAGGGATTAAATCCCAGCAGGCCTTGCCACTTCTGTGGGGCTGTTTGCAAAGGCCTTTGGCGGTCTTCTGCAGAAGGCTGGAGGTGGTCCTTCTCAGTTTCATCTGGACACACAGGAAGATTGGAATTCTCAGCAGGTACCCAGGAGAGATGTCACTTGGACTGAACTATCTTTCTCATCTGTAGCTGCTGCCCAAATGCACCAACTTGGCTTTTTCTCATTGTCTTTAAAAGACCACCAGCCTTCCATGCTGCTGCCAGCAAAATATGTCAAGTGAGAAGAGAACTCCCTTATGCACAATACGTGGTTGAAAAGCAGGCACAGATCCAGGACTTGAAATGTGTCGAGATAAGTTTGCTCCATGTATGCCAAGGTTGAAAATTTAGGTTTTATTCTGGTAGTGAGAAATCCTTTTCTACTGCTGTCAAAAGTAAGTGTATCTGATGATGCACTGGATCAAGTCTAGTAAGTGAGAGTAAGTACTGCTGTAATACATGGGAGTGTTTTCCTGTTACTGAGAGCTACTATTGAGAGCAGTAATTAATGTGCTTAGGATGGGGGTGTGTGGGGGGAAGAATAGGGTCATCCTGTTTTTTATTATGAACAAACTTTGGAATAAATTGAAACAGATCTTCCCAGCTGCTTGGATGTTTCAAGGAGGAGGCCCAGCTCCTGTTAGGAAGACAGCAGGAGCTATCAGGCCAAAACTGCAAGTTAAGAGAAGGCTTTATAACATCTCAAGCCACAGTAACTGCCGCCAAGCAGCTCTGAAGAGTGACATGGAGACTTCAAGGCAAAACGTAACATTTTTGTCATTGGTGCAAGATATTTTTCTTCCCAAAATAACCAGTATGGAAGGGGCTATGCTGGATCAGAGCTGGGGACGGGGGCTTTAACCCTTTGTAATCACCATAGCCATAATCAGAATGCCCCCCTTCTCGACCTTCAATTTGCAATGGAAGGAAAGCTTTTTGTAGCAGTATTTCAACAGCTATAATGCCAAGTTCTGGTCATAACTTTGCAGATAATATAACAGACTTTATTCAACAATAATGGAAGAACATTGGGGCTCATTTTGATGCCTTGGTGTTTTATTCATAGTCCTTTATTTGAACAAATCCTCTGCTTGAAGGGATGTCTGGTCCAATGCCAGTTTAAAGATAAATAAGTTTAGGAAGGGCAAGGAGGAGGGACCTTAAAGTTGCCTGTCAATAGTGAGTGCCCTGACAGCAGACAGGTTATTTGGCTACAGTCTTTCCCCTATAGCAAGATGCATTGTATTTCTATTCAGATTGCAGTATTTTTTTTCTAAATTTGCATCTTTACATACTAAGTAGCATATATATATAATGAAAATCTGTCATATTCTGTCCTCTTTTGGAGGGGGCGATACATAAGTGGCCATTCTGCTCAATAAGCAGTTAACATTGTCTAGGTTCAGCCCCTGCTATGAACTCTAACGGTAGCACTCTTTTGACTGATAAGAATCAAATTCTAGGGGGTAGAACCCTTTAAGAACATCCTGAATCATGACTCATTTGCCAGCTAAAAGGCTATACAGGAATTACCTCAGTGTGATACAATCAGCTTCTGGCCCAGGAATCTTATATGGCTGAAACCGAAGAGGCCATTAAATCGTTATCTTACAGAAAGGCAGCTGGTACTGATGCTGCGATGCCGCCTTAGATTGACTCGAAACTATCCCCAAATATCTTTTTTAACCTCATGCTGATTTCACCACATCCCTCAATGAATGTGGCATCATGAAAAGATACCTGGGGCACATAAAGATACCTATGTCATTCGGTGGCATGAAAGGAAAGGAAATTGTTTCCTCTGAAATAGACACAGAGGGATTTCTAGCTGCAGATGGAAAGAATCATCCTCCTAAACAACTTGGGCCCGCAGTACTTTAAAGACTAACTGATTCTTCATGTTCCACCTCAATCAGTGTGATCTTCTATTGGGGAGCATTTAGTGTAGCAGAGCCTACCCTGTGGAAATATTTGGTGGTGGAAGTCTATCAGGAGCCATTCCTGCCTTCTTTTAGATGCTGTTTGAAATTTGTGCTATTCAGACTTTGCAATGTTGCTTTTTTTAACCATCTCGTATTTATTGCTGTTATTATTTAGATTACAGTGGTACCTTGGTTCTCAAACTTAATCCGTTCCAGAAGTCCATTTGACTTCTGAAACCATTAGAAAACCAAGGCACGGCTTCCGATTGGCTGAAGGAGCTTCCTGCACTCAAGCGGAAGCCACATTGGACGTTTGGCTTCCAAAAAACGTTTGAAAACTGGAACACTTACTTCTGGGTTTTCGCCGTTCGGGAGCTGATTTGTTCGTCAACTAAGCCGTTCGAGAACCAAGGTTGTGTTGTTGTATTATATTTTTATATTGTATGCCAACTTGTTCTCTCTCTCTCTCTGTGTGTGTGTAAATAGTGAGTGTGTATGTGTGAGAGAGTGAATGAATGAATGAATGAATAAAGTGTCTGACTAGGACCAGGGAGGCCCAAGTTGAAATCTTCACTCAGCCATGAAGCTTGCTGGGTGACCATGGCCTTTTCACTCTCCCCACCTTTCTTAAATTACAATAAAGCAGAATAAAAAATCAAGTCTATGAATGCTAGCCAGTCATGATGGCTATATGAGCCCTCCAAGGTCAGAGGTCACTGAATATCTGTTGCTGTGGAACAACAATGAGAGAGGTTTAATGCCTCCATGCCCAGCTTGTAGGCTTCTCAGCGGCATTTGATAGGCCACTGTGGGAAGCAGGATGTTGTACTAGCTAGATCTTTAGTCTGATCTGCCACTGGCTCTCTTATTTATGAAGGAGCTGTAAAAAAAGGGGAAAAAAGAATAACCAGCTGCTAGCACAAAAGCTTGCCTAAATAGATGTGCTGACTATTCCTCTAAAAGAAGCCAGAGGACAAGCCAAGTGGCCTTCTTGAGCCAGACATTTTACAGCATAGTAATGACCACCAAGACAGTTATTCTTGTATTTAATCTTTAAAGAACTTTGAACAAGGCTTTACTGAAGGATGTTAAGAGTATGTGTGTACTATATACCTATGGTAACACATACTCCTTGTTTTTGGGGGGCTTGCAGAGACGTGGATTGTATCAGGTGAAACACAGTTACCAAGAACAAAACACTTGGCTATTTGTTGATTTTATAGAGGCATGTATGGTGTGTATATGATAGATCCATTCCTTGGCCCTACCTATGGTTCAAGAAGATCCTAGTTGCAGGACAGTCAATTTAAGAACTTTTAGTGGGCAAGTAGGCCAGCCGCATTCTTGGAAAAATAACCTATTGAAGCACTATAGAAAAACAACTGTGTAAGACAGGAATGGGGGAACCTCAGCCTTGAAGGCCAAATTCCAGGGCTTTCTGTCAGGCCCCCAGGACTCTCCTAGGCCATGGTCCCTCCTCAAGTCACATACCTACAGACTGTGCTCTGCATCCTATGTGAGTACTTTCCCCTGTTGGAATGGACTCTTGAACTGTGAGACTGATAAGAGTCACACCTATTATTCTGACCACTTTTGCATGTGGCCCCTGGAAGGTTCTCCATGAAGAAATGCAGCCCCTGGGCTGAAAAAGCTTCCCCACCCCTGGCGTAAGACAGGATTTCTCCTGCAGGAGAGTCAGTAGGAGAGCAAGCAGCAAACAGAATCAGAGGCTGCTTGTTTATCTGCGTTGCATAACAGAAATTAAATGCAAACCACAGGGAAGGTAGTTCTTTCCTGCTTAAGGAAAAATATATATATTATCAGAGACAGGCTTCTATATGTTTATTCGTGACCACATAACCTGTAGGCCGAATAACTTTGCTCCTTTTCAGCAAGCCGCAAATGCAAATAATCTGTAGGCAGAACGGTGGTAACGACAACATCCCGGTAACTGTGAGGCCTCCAGCCCTTTCACAGACATGCCACATTCTAATAACATCCTTCCTGGTATTTTAAAAGTTTTTCATCAGAAGGCAATTTCCTTTGAACGTAATCATTGTTTTAATTAAGTTCTGCATATGTAGTGCATTGTTATAAGCTCTCATAAAACACTGTGTACAATTATGTTTAGAGTGTACAACTAAATCAGAATTGCCATTAATGAAATCCCTTATCAGAAGACAAAAAAAGAAAAGAAAAAAGCCTTAGCTGGAGCTTAGGCAATGCCTCTTAAAAATGTGTTTGGCATGAAAAGAAGTAATTTGGTCATCTGAAGGGCATGGGAGAATCTAGGAAGGATAAACTGGTTGCGGAGAACAAGTAGGGAAGATGGAGGGTGGTTGCAGAATTCTGAGGGGGCCCAGAATAAAGGGTCCTTGCTTTGTTTCCTAGATTTGAAAGAAGGTATGATAGTCACTCCCAATTTCTCTAATGTTCTAATAAGTCAAAGTAATGGCAGGTTCCAGCAATTCTAGGGGAAATAATATTTTTACAGGCAAAGTTCCATTAGGCATTGTTTGACATTTATTGCATATATAGCACATTGCAGAAAATCCATTAGCAACTGATGGGTTGTTAGGAAGGAGATTCGCCGGGTTGTGTTTTTACTCTACTTCAGGTGATTAGCACAGAATGACTAGTGGTCTAATTTTCATAGAAACGTTAATATGTACGACACCTGGAACATAGGAAGCAGCCTCACAGTAGGTCAGATCACTAGTCTGTCTGGCTCAGTGTTGTCTACACTGATTTGCAGTGGCTCTCTAGGGTTTCAGAGCAGGAGATTTTCCCAATCTGACCTGGAGGTGCCAGGATTGACCTTGGGACCTTCTGCATATAAAACACATGCTCTTCCACTGAGCTTATCTTTGCACAAATGTTTTTGACAGAGGACTAAAATAAAAATGTATTCAAAAATATTTTTCATTAGACTATCAACAAAATATATCCCAATAATGTATTAGGTGGCTGGGGCAACCCAGTAAGATGGGTGGTATATAAAGTTGTTGCTGTTGTTGTTACTATTTTCTTTGCATGAGCCCTCTTCCTCCAGTTTTAACAGTGGAGTGAGGTTGTCCCATTGTAAGGGATAATAAATAATTTGATTTGTTCACATACTTTCTTACAGAACTAATAGTCAAGAAAATGGAAGGGCAAAGATGGAGCCCAGCCCAGATGGAAACACTGAATTTCCAAATGCTTGTGCATATCTGATGCCCTTGGTAGCTCAGTTGGTAGAGCACAAGACTCTTAATCTCAGGGTCGTGGGGTCAAGCATGTTGGGCAAAAGATTCCTGCATTGCAGGGTGTTGGACTAGATTACCCTCGTGGTCCCTTCCAATTCTACAATTCTATGATTCTACTCTCTGCCTCAAAGGTGCACAATCCAGAGCAAGGACTCTGTTTTACTCATTGTCCTGAGCATGTGGTTTTGCATATGAGACTTTGGACTGCTCACCTTGGTCAGAGTGAGCTGACCAAGCTTTCTGGTCTAAATAAAATTTTAAAATATTCTATAGCATTTCATAATCCAGCTAGGTATCTCAATGATTTTGACTTTGGGACAGAACATTAGAAAGTGGGTGCAGGTTTTACTGAGCATTTAGGGAAAATACCAACTCTGTGTTTTTTCCCCTTACTATTCTGCCTGTGGGACGCGGGTGGCGCTGTGGGTAAAACCTCAGCGCCTAGGACTTGCCGATCGCATGATCGACGGTTCGAATCCCCGCAGCGGGGTGAGCTCCCATTGCTCGGTCCCAGTGCCTGCCAACCTAGCAGTTCGAAAGCACCCCCGGGTGCAAGTAGATAAATAGGGACCGCTTACCAGCGGGAAGGTAAACGGTGTTTCCGTGTGCGGCTCTGGCTCGCCAGAGCAGCTTCGTCACGCTGGCCACGTGACCCGGAAGTGTCTGCGGACAGCGCTGGCTCCCGGCCTATAGAGTGAGATGAGCGCACAACCCTAGAGTCTGTCAAGACTGGCCCGTATGGGCAGGGGTACCTTTACCTTTACCTTTACCTTTATTCTGCCTGTAAAAGTAAATAGGAAATAGTAAAAAATAATAATCAATAAATTTTAAAATGAGATCAGATTACACTGCTTTCCACAGTTCCCTACCCCCATTGGCTATAGGCCCCAGGCAACTCCTCTTAGAAATCAAACCCCTGTGAACATGCACCTTGGGAGTAAACTTACCTGAACACAAGTGGAATTTAGGCATCTAAATAATCAAGCCAGACTGGTTAAAGCATTGGAGTTGTCTCTATGTCCTCTCCTCCATCTCAAAAAAACCTTCTACGGAATAAGGATGCATCACTTGGGTCAAAGGAATAGAACTGTGATGCCCATGGTATTCACACTTTTACAGCCATTTTATACCACTTTATCTTCACAACAGCCATGTGATTAGGCTGAGAGTTGGTGACTGGCCCAAGGCAGGGAATGAGTTCATTCAAAATGTGAAACTGCACAAGCTCAGAGTATATTTTGTAGTCCACAAAAAGCTTATGTCATCATAATTGCGTTCATCTTTAAGATACCACAATATTTCAGTCACATTATTTGATGCATTCCTTCTTGGGGGAAACAGGGTGTTTTGGGAAGTGCACAAGAGCCCCCAGTCACCATAACCCCCCCTTCTCCCCCCCTTAAATATGGAAAATGTGACGCTGTGTATAGATGTTTTATCTATGAAGGCCTGAGCCGCTTACTCTAGGAATTTAAGAGCATGAGAGGTTGAGAGCTAAAGGTTTTGAAAAATATTCCTGCAAAGTGATTTACTGTGCTATGTGGCGTACCTGCAAAAGGAGTTAGAACACCCTGGGAAGTTGCTAGGGAACAGAAGTTGCTGCATCATTGACCATCCAATGAGAGATCGTTCTGATGATGTAATGCTTCTGTTTGGTCTGTGCTGATATCATTTTAGGAGAAGCCAGGATGCAGTATTGTTCTGAAAACACAGGAACAATCCAACTTGAATTAACTATTTTTTTAAAAAAATGAGGCTGGTTTGGTTCTGCTCATTGCACCGCTACTATTCCAAGGTAGGGAACAGAACCTTGCCTCCATAAAAGCACCTCAGTGTCCACAGAAATACATAGATGTGACACAGTTCACCTAAGATTAAAAGCTGAGCTATATTTTAAGCTCACCCTGGGAGATGCTGAAAATAGCAAGTCTAGAGATGAACTCTCTTTCATGCCATAACAAGCTGGAACATTCGCGGTACTGTGAATACTTCCTGCATAGTAAGTTTCCTTGCCCCTGCCAGTATTGGCCACATGGCAAATGGGAATGAATAAATTATGTGTGTTGTATAGCGGTTAGAGGGCTGGACTAAGACCTGGGAGGCCAGGGTTCAATTCTCACTCAGCCATGAAGCTCCTTGGGTAACCTTGGGCCAGTCTACCTCACAGGGCTGTTGTGAGGATAAAATGGGGGGGGGGGGAGAAGGGTGTACACAACCTTGAGTTCCTTGGAGGAAAGATTGGAGACTAGTGAAAAAAAATAAACAGTGTGCTGTGTATTCCTAGATATCATGGCCAAGAGGGGGAATCATCATAATTTACTCCAAAATTCTGTATGCATTCCATTTCACATATAAGTAACCCCATCTCCATGTGCAAACTACAGACAGGCTCCCAGGATTTATTAGACAACCTGTTGTGGTCAGAGGATCTCTGTAAGCACACCTGAGCTTCCATGCTTTGAACCAATGTTTCTCAAAATTGGCTCCCCAGCTGTTGGACCACAACACCCATCATCCCTAGCTAGCAGGACCAGTAATCAGGGATGATGGGAGTTGCAGTAGTCCAACAGCTGGGGACCCAAGTTTGAACAGATCTCTAGCTGGGCTGTGTAGCTTCAGTGTGACCCTAGCAGCATGGAAGGGGACAACACTAGAGCAAAATGGGGGTTTGCACCAGCTTGTCTCCCCATTAATGAGGTGACATCATCCCCATCCCACTGTTGCCCTAAACCAGGGGTCAGCAACCTTTTTCAGCTGTGAGCAGGTCCACCATCCCTTAGACCATGTAGCGGGCCGGACTATATTTTTTTCAGGGAAATGAACAAATTCCTATGCCCTACAAAAAACCCAGAGATGCATTTTAAATAAAAGAACACATTCTACTCATATAAAAACACGCTGATTACTGGACCGTCCGTGGGCCAGATTGAGAAGGTGATTGGGCCGCATCCGGCCCATGGGCCTTAGGTTGCCTACCCCTGCCCTAAACCTTCCTTGTCCAAAATGTATATTGTTGTTTTGTTATATTGTAACATGATTTTTTAAAAAAATGTCTGTGCCCATTGTTTACTGTTGTTATTACTTACAATATATAAAAGGCCATCAAAGTTTTATAATGAATATGAGTGTAGATATAAAATCTGTTCCTTAGACTCAATGCCAAACATTTCTACCTAAAGATAGCATCTTAAGTACTCACCACAGAATCTCTTTGGTTTTTGCTAGAATGCAATTCTTCAGGTTGTTCTTGAAAAGCACAAGAAATCATGTAACATCACAGCTGTTAGATTACTGGTAGTGACTGATGTAATTACATGACACGCCAATTACTGTGCATTTGGCATTGCTGTTTGGATAATTTCAGCATTCAGAGTGAAGCTAAACATGAAGCTAAGAAAGGCAATGCTAGTAATCTGTGGCTATCCATGTGCAATCTGTAGTTGCCTACATTAACCATTGCTGCTACTTTACCATTTCAGAAGGCCAAAGAATTGACCCAGGTCTTATGAAGTAATAAATAATGGTGTGATGGAAGAAGACTGATGCTTGATGGCCTTTTCTCTTTGGTGCAAATGATAGCAATATTATTGCACATCAGTTATAGTACTGTAAAAACCTTGGCAATAGGACAACCAAATTGTGTCACTGTGGCTTTATTACTTAAGTCTGTGGGATGTAATCCACTGGGAGCATTCCTTGTTTTGCTAGAGTGGACATGCAAGGGAATGTTTGGTCCAGCCAGTCAAAACTTCCTGGCTGGAACATCCTTCCTTGCATGTGACTAGTGGGTGGGAATGACCTTTCCAGACCTGGTAAAAGGCCAAGGCATGCTGGCTCTCTCTCTTTTTCCATTTTCTTTTTGTCCTGCGAACTTCCTGGAATGAACTGCTGGCTGCCAGCCAAGCAGTCCCCCAGGTCATCTCCCTTATGGGGTAAACCTGTTAGTATAAGTTTGTAACTTGAAGCCTAAAGCCTGCCTTCAGGGATCACACATTGCTCTGCCTGGTTGTGAGTAAACTTTCTTTTTTTGCTTATGAATAAGACTGTGGTGTCTTTATTCTTTTAGGAGGGATTCAAAGGGGGATCTTACCAGGAACATACAATTCAATCTGAGGGAGAATGAATTGCATAATAGTAAGAGGTTCTAACAAACCTGCAACCAGATTTCTGCTGTGCGTGAGAAGGGGAATGTAAACTCTGCTAAGCAAAGGAACTTGCTAGCGCAAGTTAGGAAGGATATTAATAAACAAGATATCCTCTCCTGCCACCCTGAACATTCCTACAAAGTCTACTACAGGGGCCAGTAGGGCCAATGCAAAAAAGAGGCATTTTTTATGTGCAACAATGCAAAAACAAAACAGAGAAGAGCTGTGGTAGAACATATGCTTAGTGTGCAGAAGGTTCCAGGTTCAATTCCTGACACCTCCAGGTAAAGATGTAGGAATGAAGGGACCCATTGATGTCTGGTTCATCCCAGATCTGCATGGTGATGGGAATAAATCCATCCTATCATGTTTCTGTGCTGGGCAACATTTTTTTTTTTAAGAATGATGGACCATAATCAATTCCTGTTGCTCCCAGGGCACTTCTGTTCAGATGGCAATAAGTCCCATGTACCAACTTCTTCAGGTAGTGAATGGCTGAATTGCCTGTTTTTAAACAACCCATTCCCAAACATGATCTGTCAATCCAGGGATTGCACTATGAAATCTGAGTTTCCTCCCTGATCCTTCATCTAGCGAGTCTGTATGGAGCTTGATGGGAGCCAATGGTCTGACTTGGTGTAGCTTCCTATGTTACAAAATACCTCACTTCCACCCAGCCTTGGTGAGGCTCAAGGATTCCCACTGCTGTGCTGACCAGGAATGGTGTATTTAATCTTTTCAGCTACCCCATCTATTGCTGACATTCCTAAGGTTCAACGATTCTTCCTCGGCTTCAACGCCATACATTTAAAGCACTGTTATGCCTCTTTAGCAGTCATTGAGAATCCTGGGAACTGTAGTTTGTTGCTGACCGGCATCCTGAACAAACTACAGCTTCCAGGATTCTCCATGATTGCTAATGGTTTCAATATACAGCATGGATGTAACCTAATTCTTTATGGAGGCACAGTTCAGTCCATGAGGGCAGGCAGAAGCACGTTTACCTTTGAAGTGGGCAGAAGTTGAGCAGCATAGGGAGGTAATGCTCCTTGACTTTCCTTCCTACAGGGTCTCTTGTCAACAGGATGCTGTTTGGTGAATAAGATGTTCCTCCTTGTTCCTTTCTGCTGAGGCAGAGAGGCATCAATATGAGCTGGTTAGCAGACAGGCAATTGCTTACAATTTGTGCTGGCTCTCTGTCAAGTCTGATGCTGGAACCCCCCCTCCCCTTTCAAGCAAAGACTATTATTGGAAGGGATGCCTCCAATTGCTCAACCCCTGCCCATTTTAGTGACATCCATTTAGAGAGTAAGCATTATTCAAAATGTCCTAAATCTAAAGCTCTGTAATCCTTTTCGGCTGGGGTGTTGGTGGGGGTGGGAAGAAAAGCTAATTTCTACAAAGTCCAATTCATGTACACAACCACCACATCAAAACATATAAAAACAAGGAAACCCCATGCACCAGTTTTGAACCCTTTCATGTTACGACATCTAGTTCATTTATACAAATGTTATATCTTTGCAACAGCCGGGGAGTCTGCAGTTTATTCGTAAGTATACGAAAGTTGTTTAAAAGCAGCTTACAGCATGAATGTGTGTGCCATTTGTAATAAATTAGACCCGTTGCTTTTAATTAAAGAGGCCGACCGATAATTTCAGCCATGTTTATGCAATTCTTCCCCCCTCCACCCATGACACTTTTTAATCTCTTTCCCTTTGTTTTCCTTTGACTGAATAGCTTAAGAAACAGTCTTTAATTAACTAACTGAAATGAGCCTCCTAACACTGAGAACTAGATTAAGAAAATCCTTTTAATTACTGGAACCAGATTTAAGTTTGATGGCGAAGGGTGGTTAAATACCCTCTTTTAAATTGGGCCTTAATTAAAAGCAGTGAGGTGCTGTGAAGGCCCTTTATTTACATGAGCAACCAGTTTGAGCCAAAACTTTGGCTTTGGTGGAACCTGTGGGAGATCCACTTTCAAATCTTTCTTTCATTTAAGAATTAAATAAAAGAAGTTAGTTAAAATAGGAAGGGACTGACCAAACATCGGGTTGCCATGTAAATTCCATGAGTTCCTCTGCCCCACAAGCAAATGAATATCTTGGAATTACCATTTGCCTTGTGGTTGTTAAAATAACCCAAGAACATGTTTATGATTGAGTTCATAATCCAACAATATGCTTTCTCCTGACAAGTCACAAGAAGCTGGAAATTTAGCATTTGCATTATGGAAAATTTCAGATTTTGCATTTTTGTACATTAGCTGCATGATTCTAAATATGTCTGCTTAGAAGTAAGCCCTACTGAGTTCAGTAGAGCATACTCCCAGTTAAATATTGGATTGTAGCCTTAAAATGTTTTTATTGCAAACTTGATGTGAGATAAAGGTCAGGCCCAACCCAATTCATTTTGTCACCTGAGGTGAACCAAAAAATGGCACCCCTGTCCCTGCCACAAAAGAAGGGGTGAGGGACAATCTTCTTCAGGAACAAGGAGGGAAAGGAAGATTAACTTTGGGATCTGCTGCCCCCATGGATCCTGCTACCTGAGGCAGTCACCTCATCTTGGCTCATGGGTGGGCAAGCCCTGAAAGAGGTTCAAAAACAGCAAATGAAATTTGTGTGGCCAAAATCATTCTGCCTCATCTTCAACCATTTCTTTCCTGGGTGCCAGGAAATTTCCAGTGACTTTCAATCTGTCACCTTTGTTGTGTACTATATCCCTTTCCTTCTTTGTCCAAACATGCCTCAGTGCTGCATCCCATGCTGTTTTGCAGTTGGCACACTCTAATCTTATTAGTTGGCAAACAGCTGCCTGATTACAATGCGGAGACTGCAACCTACTTGAAGGCTGGCTTTCTGTAGCAGGAACATCCTTCTTTCCAGGTGTGCTTAGTACATACAGATGTGTAAAATTCAAGTGTTGAGTGTGCTATGGAAGTACACTCATAACGTTTCGTTCTAGGGTGGTTGGCTATGCTTTGTCAAAAATGCAATTCACTCCATCTGAAGCTTTCCTTGTGCTTGATCCAGAAACTGCAACTGTGCTAGGTATGCATTAGTGACTTGAAACACACCAATGCCATTCTCCCCCGCTCAGGGCCGGCCTGAGACATTTTGCCACTGCAGGCAAAAGGCCTCCCCCCCACCTGCCAGATCTGGGTCCCCACTCTGTCGCGCCAGTGCTGCTGCCAGCCCCATCACTGCAACTGTACCTTCATCTGTGACTGCACCCGAGCTGCTGCTGCAACATAGCAGCAGCTGTGAGGGTGCAGTGTCAACAGTGAGAGCAATAGGACTGTGTTGGTGAAATGGTGCTGTGCAATGGCAGGATTGAGGAGGGGGTCCGATCTGCTACCTGATGCAAATAGCTTCACCTTGCCTAAGGCATGGTGCTGCCCCTGCCCCCCTGCAGCGTTTCAAGTCACATTTGCACATACACTGTCACCTGCACATGTGCAGTGGCTTCCTAAAGTGTACACACCTCAGTTTCCCAATTGGATGGAAACTGTTTCAAGGGAAAGTGCACCAAACAGGAGTATTTCTCAAGAAATACTACAGCATGCCTATGAATTGTGGCAAACGTTGCGTGCACTTGGCTTCAAACGTCAGTGCTAGAGCTGGAGCAAATGGGATTGTGTACGCAGTCTTAATGCAGACTGCTGCACCAAAATTGCTGAAAGGAGTATGAATCTCAGCATATTATGCCTGTGCTCCAAGATCTTCACTAGCTCTCAATTCATTGCCAGACCAAATTCAAAGCAGTTGAGATTCAGAGGTCGAAGTGGAGGCTGGAGAGGAGTAGGGAGAGTCTCCTGAAGTACCCCTCCTGCTGTCACTAGCTCCCCTTCCCCCTGGTCTCCCAGAATATGAAGAGGAATGATGAGGGCGGAGCAAAGAGAGACAAGATGAACGAGCCTCAAGTTGCTGGGGAAGGACCCAGTCTTAGAGAGTGGTGGGACCTTCAGTCCTCGCAACTGCCTCATTGGGGCAAGACCTACTGGGAAAAGTTGCTATGATCACTAGGCCTGCACTGTTTTGCTTTCTTTGAATAAAGAGTTAACTTTACTGACACTGGGTGCTTTATTACTAACCTGCTCCTGGCTCAGACTCCTGACAGTATTAGGCCAACCAAACATGTCACAAGGCAGTGTACTTTACAGCATGCACACTATTTTGTGACATTTCAAATGGCCCAATAAAGGTATTGCCATATGTACTGTGGAATCTCCCTTTTGTTTTTCTGAAGTGGTAGTGGAGAAAGGAAAATTTTCCCCAGTGTTAACTGGGGAAAAAAATGACAGAAAATGCGGGTGCCAACATTAAAGATTCCCCAGGCATAAACCTTTTGCTCAAGATATTCATATCTTAATGGACTCTTGTTTCTATTTAAGATTTTTGCTCCCGCTTATCCTTTCTCCCAGCAGCCAGCAGGGAGGCTGGCTAAACAATTGCCTTTCATCTGCATAACATGCCTTTAGCCCTAAGCAAAAGTTCATTCCAGAAGCAATATATCAAGAGCATCATGGTCAAACTAAGCAGGCACATCCGATGTTGTTTATCCAAAGTTTTAATTTGCAAAGGAAATTGTTCTATTTGTGTGTACACGCACACAAATCGGATTTTTTTTTTAAAAAAATGCTGCGTTTGTCTTTTTCTTAGGAAAACAATGTCCTTACATTATTAAAATGTAAATGTCTCATTCACCTGATTTACTCTAGTATAAACTGGGAATAAGCAAACTGATTGAAAGTAATTTCACTTCACCCTGTAAGAGGAGAATCAGACTCAGGCAATGTTTTAAGACCATGCCATTATTTTACTCTGTCTTGCATCTATGGAGACTTCTCAAGGTGATCTTTATTCATTATTATTCCTATTTATTAAATTTGTATATTGGTTTATACCCATAGATCTCAGGGTGATTCATAACATGAAATTATAATATATATAAAAATATGCAATAAAAATAAAAACAATGTCAACTCAGTGAGTGATATTAGATGACATTTAAAAAAATATTTCTTATGTTACTTTCTCCTTCAGATAGCCCAGTGCTATTTTTGCACTGCTTAAATATTCATAAGCCATTTATATTTTATGGGGGGAGTTTAGCATTTAAGTTCCTGTATTTCTTCCATCCTGTCAAGCACACTTTCGTATAATGAGAGCCGCTTGTCTTCTACGATCAAAGAAATGTTGAAGCCTTCTTCTCCCAATCTGTTTTGGCAGAACGTCAACAAACTCAATCACTCCTTCAGCTGTGAAATATAATTTGCAGCTCTGCACTGCAACTAGGGAAAGAGCCAAACAAAGTTGAATTGGGGAAGGTTTCAGTCAATGATGCTGCAAGGGACACGGGGATGTTCTAAATGCAGAGTCTTTCACCACAGTCCTGAAAACATGGTGGCTAGGAAGCTTTATGTACCTTCTGGAGGTTCGGATTGATATATCTCAAAACTCAGTCCCACAAAGGAAACACCTTTTGAAACTTTCAAAAGCTGATTGCAATACAGCATGAAGATATGCAGTTCTAAGATGAAAAGTAAAAGCTGCACAGTTTGTGACCTCCTTTGTCTGTTTCCTCCACGAGAGGTCTGGAAGGTGGCAACACTAGAAAAGGCCTTTTCTGCAGTGGCTCCCTGTTTGTGGAATGCTGCCTCCAGGAAGGTTCGGCTGGCGCCTTCATTATAAACCTTTAGGCAGCAAGCAAAAATGTTCCTCTTTAACGGGGTCTTTGGCTGATTAACATCTTATACCCCTTTTAAATGTTCCACAACAGTGGGGATTATTGGGTTGTCTTTGTTTTCATTTTTATTATGTATTTTGTGTTTTTTATATTGTAATTTTATGTTGTGAACTGCCCTGAGATCTGTGGGTACAGATCTGTGGGTATTAAATTTTAATAATAATAATAGTCACTGGATATGCCGAAAGAGTCTCTTAATTATAGCCCTTTTACTTTTGAGCAGGAGTGGGCAGCTTACAGTGAAGTCGCATGTGGCCCTTAGCCTAATTTCATGCTGATGACAAAGAGGGAAAAATAGGAGTGAGGATAAAGGAGTGGTAGAAAAGTGAGGGGCTGAAAGTGAGAAGGAGATGGGCCACACCATATATTTAAAGCATACAACTCCCACCCCTAAATCCTGGGAACTGTAGTTTGTTAAGGGTGTTGGGAATTATAGTTCTGTGAGGGGTGAACAACAGTTCTCAGGATTATTACGTGCTTTAAATGTATGGTCATAGCTGTCAACTTTCAGATTTGAAAATAAGGTATCAGCAGCCTCACCTGTCCCGGGGACAGTCTACGGGATATCTAACAATCTGTGATAGCAGCAGGAAGCAGCGGGAAATGGTGCTGGAATAAGGAATTTCCCGCAAAAAAGGGAAGGTTGACAGCTATGTGTATGGTGTGGATGTGACCATGGGGGGGAAGGGGAGTAAGACGAACCCTGCTGGATCAGGCCTAAGGTCCTTCTAGCCTAGCATCATGTTCTCACAATGGCTAGCCAGATGCCAAGGGAAGCCCACAACAAGCAGGGACTGAGTGCAACAGCTCTCTCACAATTTGCAGTTTCCTGCAACTGGCATTCAGATGCATTCTGCCTCCAACAGTGGAATGGGAAACAAGGGGTAAAGATAGAGAAAAGTGGGCTGGGGCCACCTTTGTCTCTAGTTCTGAGGGAATTCGGCCTTCAAAAAAAAGGGAAAAATAAGGTTCCCTAGTCCTGACTTCCAGTGTATCCACATCATGCTGCTGATTCTGTGCTTTAAAGTCAACCTAGAAGTTTGCATTTCCCCCCCCAAAGCAGTGCTATTTTTCTATAAAAAGAACTCACCATGAACACTTCCCTTCTTCTCTCAGAATGGCAATGGTGCCCACCTGAGAGCTGCCAGAACTGAGTTCCGGCAAGTTCCGGCTGAAAAAAAGCCCTGCCCAAAAGTAAATACCATATGGCACTGTAACAGCTTATCACCTTGACTCCTGCTCACTAAGTCCTGTCTAAAGACCTGGAATTCCAATATAAATTTAGCTTAGAAATGTAACATTAGTTTATGAGTTATTAATAACAACGCCAGAATTTAGTAAGACTGGTTGCTCAACCTTGTCCATCTCACAACACTTCTTTATTTGAGACAATCATCCTTTTCCCCCAATATTTTGGTTCACAATCCAGCTGAAATGGAGGCCGTTTACATGTTATCGGCAAGTCAAGTAACATCATTCAGTAAACTCATTTTAAATGAAAATCACAACAAAATGCAGAATACATCTTGTTTTCGAATGCTTTTTTTGTTTTTTATTAAATATTTTCACGGTTAACAAAAAATGTGCATTGCCTTTTCTCAAGTCGTATAGTTGGGAGTTTTTTTACATCTGACGTGAGACATTATATTGTTTGTGAATGTTTTGGCGGGGTCGCTGACCTGCAAACTCCTGGATGATCCCTGTGTTGCGAGGAGAATGCTAGGCCCAATGTTCTTGTGCTGCCTTCCTAGTCTCAGGAAAACCCACAGGTCAGTAACCTTTCTCTGTCTGACCTTTTAACTGGCTCTAGTCGGCCATGAAGACCCAAATGCCATTTTCTTTCAGATTCTCAGGAAGCTTCAGGCCTCTTTGAATCTAATTCTCCCTGAGAGTTTTGCTCTCATAAATTCAGGTCACTGATATTGCAACAGCGACTTTCAGTCATGTGTGAGAGGAGAAACTTTTGGGGCATCCATGCGTTACGTGACACAAAACAACCAAAAAGAGCTGAGTCTCAGCATCTCACTCTCAGTAGGCAAGAGATCCGGGTTATCTCTGCTTTCATTTCCACAGAGAATAGTTTCTGTATAAACTCGGTGCAAACATTCATTTGAAGGACTATAGCTCAGTGGCAGAGCATCTGTTTTGCTTGCAGAAGGTCTCAGGTTCAATCTGTGGCATCTTCAGGTAGGACTGGGAATGTCTCCTGTCTGAATTCCTAGAGAGTCTCTGCCAACAGGTATACGATACCGAGCTACATGGACCAGTGGTTTGTGTTACATACTGAAGTTCTCACCCTGGGCCAGCAGGAGGATACTGTAGATAGTTTTCACTCAGGTCCACATATGCAAATAAGGGATTGAAAGTGTCGTTCAGTGATTGGATAGTTACAGAAAGTGGTTACAGTTGCGTTGTAGTGGAGCTCCATATAAGCAGGCTGGCTGAACCCTTCAGTTCTGTTCTGTTCTGGCTTGTGAATAAACAAGAGCTGTTTGAAGAAGCGCTGTGTTGCCTGATATGTTCACCCACAACTTAACAGTTTGATTTAGTACAGGGCAGCTTTGTGGGTTCTGATGGTGGCACTCACAGGCCATGCCCACACCTTCCGCAGGTTTACAATGCACTGGGATTTTTTAAATGCAGATTTTCCAGCTGCACAATTTCCCCTTCAGACGCCTCCCCTTACACACACAAAACTGAACGGATACAACATGTGCTTTGCTCCTTGCTTACACCCGGCTGAAGTGAGCACACATAACTTATATCATGAAGTAGGAACGGAGGGCCCCTTGTACATCAGCAGGCTGCTCGAGTTCTTAAGATGTCCAGAGGAGGAGAGTGGCTTTTATTTTCCACTTGGCAGTCAAACAGCAGCTGCCTGAGAGAAGTGTCGGGTTTTCTTAGGAGCAACAGGCACCTCCTTGTTATTTACTTTTGCTCAATTCAGTCAACATTACTGTAGATAGAGGCCTTTTCACACGTGCGCTCTCTCTCGCTCGCTCTCTCTCTCTCTCTCTCTCTCTCTCTCTCTCTCCTCTCCTATCTCCTCTCCTCTCCTCTCCTCCATCACCTGCTGGGATATAAGCTACCCAGGACCTAAAATGTTCAGGGCTTAGTATTCCAAAGGTGAGCAGTTTTGTACCTGAGAGAGTGCATACCCTCCAACATTTATCTGATGGAAATAGGGACGTCCCATTCCATAATGATAATTTTACTATTTATACCCCGCACATCTTACTGGGTTGGCCCACCCACTCTGGGCAGTTTCCAACATATATAAAAACATAATAAAACTTCCTTATACAGGAATACAGGATTGTCTTCAGATGGATTGGGGGGGGGGTCGGATAACTCCATACCCTCCAACATTTCTCTAATGAAAATAGGGACATCTTAAGGAAAAGTGGGACACTTTGGGATTAAATCAGAAACCGGGACAGCTTTTCTAAATCAGGGATGTCCCTAGAAAATAGGGACACGTGGAGGGTCTGAGAGTGCGGTTCATCTCTCAGAAGCTGCATTCATAGCTTTGTAATTGTGGTTGTGCAAGTGCTGTCATTGCTTTGTAGACATATTTGGGGACACTGCTTGTTGTAACAGAGTGACACAAGTCACCTCCCTTGTTCATCTGCATTCCATTATGGCTTGAAATGCTTGCTCAAACATAGCCACACCATTCTGTGAAAGTTGTCTGGAAGTTGTTGCATAGTTCCCAGTGCACGTTTTTAAATGTGAGCTCAGTTACTTTACACAAGAGCCCTAGCAGCGGTCCTTCACTTGGATGCACGTCTTCAGTTCCATAGACCCAGAATAGATGAAAAGTTTACCATGTAGTTGCCTATCCTGGTCTTGGTGTCTTGACAATAAATTGCATCTCTCTTTGTGTATGGGAACCACAGCAGGATGCATGCCGACAGGTAAGAAGGGTCTGACTTTTCCCATAGAAAATTGGAGTTGCTTGAAGTGTGAAATAGAAAAGTTAGAAGTTATTAATCAAGGGTGGCAATGCGACTAGATCAATAGGTCTTTAAATACTTTCCTTTAAATGCTAGACAGCTTTAAAGCCACATTTAAAAAAAGAAAAGAAGTTTGCATTTGATTAATGATTTGTAATTCCCAGATGGAACTTTTGCCTATGATAAAATCCTTGATAATACTCAAGATAAAAAAATAAATCTATGTGGAGTTGATAAATTAAAAATGTCCACACAAATGACAACAACTCTCTTTCCCAGTGTTTGCTCAGTAGCATTTGATAACAACGAAAAGAAACTCAAGATTTTACTAAAACAACCCAGCCCAATTCAGAGAAGCCAGAGGATGAGTGAAGAATCATTTGGACCATTTCTTCCCCCTTTTGCTTAAACCTGACCAGGTTTGTACATGGCTAATTATTTTGTATATGAATATGTCCATGCTCATTGTTATATTGATATGGGCACCCGCTTTGTTCAGATGTCTCCGAGCAGTGGTGTGCTCAGTTGAATCATGATGACTCTTATAAGGCCTTCACAATGTCAGTGTGAACTGATTTCATCAGAACCTTACAAACAAGTGAGGTTGGATCCCTGTTAATTTACTGTACACTCTTCTTGGGGTATGTTCACACTGCCACATCTACACCCAGTGTGTTCCCACTGCTGCTTTTTAAAGTCCCATTGATGTTAGCCACAATTCATATTGATTCTGTAGTTTCTTGACAAACACTGCCTTTGGCTCCATTTTTTCTCCAACCAGTTTTAATCTGACGAGTGAATTTGATGCAGAATATGCAGTAATGTGAACATTTGAGGGAGCAGTCATGCAAGGCCAGATGAGCATATCTCTTCCCTACGCAACCCCCACCCACCCCACATGTTTAGTGCAATTGAATTCAGTGGGGCTTACCTGGAAAGTGTGTATATGCCTAAGTCACTCCTGTTGGAATAAACTGTACATAACTTTGACTGGATATGCCCATTATACTCAGAATGTTCTGCTGGCATAAACCACATTCAGTGGCCATAGGATGTCATGCTCAGAGAGATCTGCTTTGCATCTTCCCTAAAAGTCTTCTGCTGCAGTGTAAAAATCTTTCTTTTCTGGGAGGTCTTTAGTTGTCTGTGATTTTTGTAAGCTTGTGATGGATGGTTTTTTTTTTATCAGTGTTCCTAAGCTTTTATCTTTCTGAGTTTTGCTGCTCTGTTTCTTCTTTTAAACAATGGTGGTTTAATGGCTTTTCCCTCTTGATAATATTTTTAAAATATATTGTTGGCCAACTTGAACTTTTTGAAAAGACAGAAGGTAAATATTATAAAGTACATACACATAACTAACTATAATCCATCACAGAATTTAAGGCACTTATGCCAATGGATGTACCGTAAATTCACCTGTCTTGGTGTGGGACTATAGAGATCTGTTCTAATCCATCGGGAAAGGTATGTGTGCAAGGCAAGTTTCCACACCTGCAGCAAGACACAAAAGCCCTTATGCAAACTCTGAATGGAGCATAAATGGAAGGATGCTGCTCATTTGTATCCCTTGAAGTGGGTGGAGGAGGATGTTCCCTGGGGAACTAACAGCTTCTGTATAACTAGTTAGGAATGACTGCCCCTAGACTGGGGCTACTGACTCTTGTGGGACTTTTGGTGACAGAACCCTTTGTTTCTCTTGCTCGAAAATCAATACGCCTTGTCATTTACTCAATAACTCTACTGATTTATAAACTTAGATTTTATACACCGGATCCGATGTCCCTGTGACAGGAGGAATGAAAAAAAAATTAAAATGAAATTAAAATGTCGTTTATTTATTCCATACCTGGGTGAATTATGGGTTTAAAAGTGTGTCCCACTACAGAAATGAAACAGGTTTCTTTGACAGATTGCTTTGCTACTGTATTTGATTTCAGTTTTCCACCGAATTGTTCTGAGCAAAAATCTGTTCTGCTTTAACTTGTAATATGACTTTCCCTAGCAACACAATTGTATCAATCATCTCAAGTCTTTTAAGTCTATGTTTTAAAATGAAACAAGTTCAGCGGGCATTTTTCAGCTTGACCTTGGGACCCGAACCCTAAACATGTAGCATTCAGAGCATAATGATAAACAAATGGAACAGAAAGGGTTAGTCTTCCCTAATGCTTCTTGCATTGCGTTTTGGTGCAAACAGTCCTACCTTATTGTACATGGTTGGGTGAAATATATTTGGTTTAAGTCCTTTTAACATTCAATATTTATAGAAGGGCTTTCTACTTCTGCTTCTTAAGCAACTGCCCTGACCTCGTGGATTAAAGGAGGATATTGAAACGAAGCAATAAATAAATAAAATGAATCAACTAGCATCATAGGCCCTGCAGCTGCACAAGTCCTTTCTGCTGACCCGTTCCACCAGCAAAAGCCTAGTGAAAATACTAGTATCAAGCTATTTGTATTTCTGAATCTTCATGCTAGAGTAGTCTGGAGCCCCTTTCATAATGGGTGATTATAGGTGGTTGACACATATGTGCCTGTCACAAGAGCCAGTGTGGTGTAGTGGGTAGAGTGTTTTTGGTGGCACCAAATTTTCAGCAGGGTAAGAATACCCGTCATCTTTTTAAATTTTAAATTTTTGTTTGCTTTCAGTGTCCCAAGATTTCTTTGTGACTTACAATACTGTATTGATGTTTACAGTATTGATGTTTACATGCATACTCAGAAGTGGGACTTACTCCCAAGGAAGCAAGCATAGGGTCGGAGTCTTGGGCGCTCACTTGCAATGTGTTGAATTTTAGCTGGTCCAATTGTTATTGTCTTCCTTGCTCTGTGCTTTTCTTTCTGCATCTGCCCTCTGGCTTAGGGTTCTTACTTATTTGTGACCTAACTCAGACTCTTCTTTCATTTCAGTTTAAAGGTTTTTCTTCTCTAGATATGACTATCACCCCTGATTCTCTTTAACCTTGCTATTTTCTCCCTGCTCACAGAGAGACAATTGTAGAGAAGCATCAACAGCTTCGAGAATCAAACGTCTCCATTTCTGACAGCAACAGGAAATGCTAAGCACCAGTTTACACTGATCCTGCCCTGGCTTCTAAGACTCATTTAATTACTGTGTAAAAAAGGGAGGGTTAAACCAATTTAGTTGAATTGGGCAAGCCCTCGATGAGAGAGGGGAAATGTCTAAGCAGAGCAATGTGCCCTGGGCAATTCCTGCCACAGTTACAAGCTACAGTTGAGATAATAAGTTAATTTTAAAAGACTTTTGAAAGGAAATGATTCAGGCATGAACCCTTCTGCTTCCAGACTTCTTTTTGATTGGGTGTATATGTGTATGTGTTTGGTTGCTGCTGCTAAAATCAGTAATGCTGGATGACATTTTTTTCCTCAGACAAATTGCATTTTGGCAGGTAATAACTTCACAGGTACAGGAGTTATTTCCTGAATACCCAGTTGGCTCGTTTCAAAGGCCTGTTTAATGAGGGAATTATATACCCATGAAGAGCATAGACACTTCCTCTTGCTCAAGGAAAGAAGACACCCAGGGAACCAAGCGAAAAATTTGGAACTCATTAATGAGTTTCTGTTTCCTCCCTTGCATTGTTCTCAGCAATGGGTTGTGAAGCAAAGAGGGTTAAAATGGACGTTCCATAGTCTCCTATCAGTTGCAACAGGGAAAAGCTTCATAGAAATCTACCCTAATATAGGGACAATTAGTTACCCTGACACCCATTGAAGTTAATGGGGTTGTCAGTGTTGTGTTGTGTTGTGCTGTGCCCTGATTCTTGTAAGTACCTAGCAGTGCCCCCTGATATCCACACAAACATATAGTTTAGATAGGTATATGTATAGGTGCATCTGTACAAGAACTTTAAGAACCAAACTCTTGTTCTTACTGTCAGGACTTGTTCTGAGCTACGGGGTGACAACAGGCTTTTCTGGGCCGTTATGGATTTGTCCCTTCACAAACCTCACTCCACTCCCCACCTATTGACAAGAACAGACAGACCCTCCACGTGTCCCTATTTTCCAGGGACAGTCCTGGATTTACAGAAGCCGTCCCGGTTTCTGATTTGATCTCAAAATGTCCCGCTTTTCCTTAGGACATTCCTGTTTTTGTCAGAGAAATGTTGGAGCGTGTGCAAGAATGGATGATGATGTATATATTAAAAGTAAAACAGATCTTCTCCAGCATGAAGTTGACTTCCTTCCCTCCCTCCCTCCCTCCCTCCCTCTCACACACTTACCCACCCATTTCCTTTCCCGCCTCCTCCAGCTTCTACATGAACCTTTGGGCAAGTTAAGGTGGTACGTGGCTGGGACTGCGCACCACATTGTGTTATGTGCCTAGCCACTCTGCAAGCCAAGGTGATGGTTTTCAAAAATGAAGTTTACAAAGGGGGTAAAATGCAGAAGATCCAGGGCCCAAGGCAAAGGGCTCAAGTTATGTGCCTCCTAGGCTACCCACTATCATGTTATCTCCTTTCTCTGTCTGCATCCCATAGCATGCCCTCTTCTCTCTGTACTCCAACCAGTCTCTGTACACCCCATCTCTTTAACTCCTATTTTTCCTACTTGCTCATCTCATACATCTTTTTTCCAGCTTCCTCCCTTTTCCTTCACTATTTTTGTTCTGCTTCTGCCACTCTCACATGATGTCCATCCCTTGTCATTGAGTTTGGCGGCAACAGCGCATGAGGCTTTCATTCTCCTGTCAGTGCACACCCATGAAGGACTCTCAGATATAGGTGGGCTACCTAGAGAGGTTGGCTGGCAGGTTGAAACTGGGAACACTGATGCCAACTCCATGCATCTTGGAGACCGGGAATCCCCTACCTGCTCTCTGAAGTGGTGTGATCCATTCTAAAACTCTTGCCACTGCATTCCTTCCATGGGTAGACTAAGCCTGCATCCAAGGAGAAGAGGAGCAGCAGAGATATAGGATGCAGGCATTGTCCCATCGCATCCCATCCTTTTGATGGGTATAGCCAGGCCTTAGAGGATGTGGGAAGATGTGGGATAGGATCATACGCAATGTGTGTTTGGAATTCTCCCAGGGGACTGCAAATGGGAAAGGGAACACAATGGACCTGTCATGCAGGCCTAATCTAGGGCAGAAGGTGAAATACTTATTAGAATCATGGAAAGCAGATTATGACATCAGTGGACATATCACCTCCTTTAATTTATTTTTGTGACAGCTTTGCTATCAGCGAAACCTTGACGAGTCCTTACGCAAGATTTCATGGTATTTGTGCTATCCTATTACTGTCATCAAAAAAGCTATTGTTTTTGCCAAAAATATAAAAAAACCTGTTGGCTGAATATAATGAGGAGAGGCATTGTGATTGTGATATTAATTTACAAAAATGGCCCAAACAACTTTCTGGTGTTGGTGAGAACAGGGAGGGGAAAAGCTTAAAAGAGAATCACTCTTTATCTATCGCACTGTTTACTTATCTGCTGGCAAGCGATCAAAAGTGAAGAAATCAGAGTACATAATAGGGGGCAGACCCGGGAAAGGAGGCACAGATTCAAAACAAGTCTGTGAGAACTAACAACCTTCATTGTGACTTTTAGTTCCTCCTCATGAGAACTGCCTGAACCGTAAACCTTATCAACATGTGGGGGGAAATCCCAGCCTTTCATTCCGTCACCTCATGGCCAACAGCTGTTGCAATGAAATGAACCTACATAACATTCATCTTACAAAATCAGATACTTATCTTAGAAAATACAAAATATGCCAAACATATTTATTTTCTTGAATAGTCATTGGACTGTATCAGGGTGTTATTTTTTTATGGCTACCCGAAATACAACCTTGTTGGTCTTTTGGTGTGGCAAAAACAAGGAGTCTTGCAGTACCTCAAAGACTAACAAATTATTATTAGGGCTGTGTGTTGTTATCAGTTAGATCAGATGCACTCCAGATGTGGTTGGACTTCCAACTTCCATCTGCCCCAAACTGCATAGCCATTGATCAGGGAGTTAAAGTCCTGAAACATCTGGAGGATCACAGATTCTGATTTAAAGTGGGAAGATGGCTTAAAAAATATATGAGATGAATTTATGGAGGATAAGTTAATCAATGACTATTAGCTGTGAGAACTAAATGGATTGCCAGTATACCAGATATTGGGACAATCAGGGGGAAAGGCACATACAGAAGCCAATTGGACTGGTAGTTGAATCTTACTCCAATACTGGTGAAAAGATAGAATCTTCCCCTGCACTTGAGGGCAGCAGGCTAGTGTAGGTAGTAAGGGCAGGCCACACAGCACTCACAGCTCTGTCCACTCCCTGCACCTCAGCATTTTCCACCTGAGGCAACTGTCTCACTTTGCCTCATCGTAGGGCCGGCCCTGCCCTGCCTACCCTGTTCATTGTATGTGCTTATTCATGTCCCAGCACTGACTACCTGATAGGGCTGAATTTTTCCTATCTCAGTGCAAAATTCAAAGCAAGGTCTGTGAGCAGCTGTATAAAAAGGCTCATGTGGAATTATTTAAAGTATAATTTGCAACCTAGCTTCTACATTTCCTTTACCATGTTTTCCTTCAGGGTTAAGCTTTATATCGCTTCATGGGGAGAAAAACAATGCTTATCATGTTTATGTTAAAAACAAACAACCCCAGTGCATATGACCTACAGAAGAAATGACAATTTCTTTGGAAGGACTAATGGTTTTGGTTTTTCTAACAGACCCAATGCAAGAATGCATCTCGTATATCCCACATCCTGCTTCACAAGAATCAGGCATTCATTCTTCATTAATAGCATAACTCCCTGGAGCCAAGCTTCCTGGAGCATGTGATAGCACCATCACATTTCAAATTATCTGGTGATATTAGTACAGAGTTTGTGAACAATGCTTTAAGCAATGGGAAAAATGAAAATGAAACACCAGCCTATTTTTTGGCACAAATGGGGAACCCTTTTTAAACTGAGGGCCATATTATCTCAGTGGAAAGCTGTTGAGAGCCAGACTCCAGCAGAGGGTTGGGTGAGTCTGGCACATAATCAGACACCCTTAGTGTGTACACACACACACACACACACACACACACACGAAACAGCCATAGCTTTAATTCTTAGTAACTGCACTCAATATTCACTTTCCCAGGCCCCTGCTCCAATTCTCCAATACCCTTTAGCTGTTCTGCGTAAAAGGCAATAAGAACTCCGTAATCCCCCACTCCCAAAAAATAAGAATGCAAACAAAACCAATGCAAAGCTGAGCTACAAATCCTGCCTTACAGGTATGTAAAGACTCAAACTTCAAAATGCAATTGCATTTCCCAAATTGCACATGTGAAATTGCAAAGCGTATGGGTGACTTTTTGCATACTTTCAAGGAACACAAGTCTACCGGTTTGCTGGCAGATCTTGTTCTTACAACAGATACCCTTGCAGAGGAAGGAGCTGCAACTGGAAAGCATCAAAGACCCTTTACCTTCCAGCTTATAGCCCAGAGGAGGCCCAGAGGGCTTGATGACATTCCACTGAGGGTTGCATCCAGCCTGCGGGCTGTGCTGGGGCTGTGTGTGTCTCATCCCTTTTCTCTGGTTTTGAAGCTTGCCTGCTCTACTTGTTGCATGCAAACTTTGCAAGTTTACTGGTAATTTTCTAGGTGATCACCCAAAATTGACTTGGCTAACTTGAAAGAGCTATGTGAGAATTCTTATGTTGGTGTTCCCTGAATTCTTCTTCCTCGTGAATAAGCAGAGGACTTGAAAGTCCAGAATTTTACATATTTCCCTTTTCAGACTGGAGCTGTTCATAATGAGCAATAAACAGATGCACAAATCATGGGCGTGCTCCTTTGCAGATGGTAAAAATACCCATGTAATTATTAAAACTATGGACAGTATTAAGTGGCAGAAGGGAACTGTTATAGAGGGACAAAATGGCTCCCCTTTTTAAAATAAACAATTTCAACAGTAAAAACACTGCAATATTTTTTCTGCTTCAGAATGATGCTTAAGTATTTTTTTAAAAGCAGAGTCTCAAAATAATATTGAAACAGAGCCAAGTCACACTGCTGAAAAGCTTTCAGAGCCAAGACTCAGAGGTATAAATGTTAGAACCAATAATGCTATCGCTATGACTTCCTGGATTGTGAAATAAGTAACCATTTCTTCCCACTTCCTTCAGATTCCTCCATCTGCTGCAGCAAGTGAAACAAACTGATGGATGTTAAAACACAAATGCTCTCCTCAGGCATCTTCCTTCTTCATGTGATAAACTCCCTCCTCACACCACTTGAACATTGCTGAGAGTTTTCGTGTACTACTTAATGATTTGTGTGTGTGTGTGCTTGTCGTAGCAATTGTAATGCCCTGTGCTGGATGCTGTGTGATATTTAATTGCATTTTTTAATTGCTTTTTATTTCTTTTATTGTGTTGCAACTTGAATTCCATAGAATTCAAATGGTGACACAATGGAGCGCAATATATCACAAAGAGGGGAGGCAATGAAAATACAGTGGTACCTCGGGTTAAGTACTTAATTCGTTCCGGAGGTCCGTACTTAACCTGAAACTGTTCTTAACCTGAAGCACCACTTTAGCTAATGGGGCCTCCTGCTGCTGCTGCGCCGCCGGAGCACGATTTCTGTTCTCATCCTGAAGTAAAGTTCTTAACCTGAAGCACTATTTCTGGGTTAGCGGAGTCTGTAACCTGAATTGTATGTAACCTGAACCGTATGTAACCCGAGGTACCATTGTATCATTATTGAGGCTGAATCCTGACAAGACAGAAGTACTGTTTTTGGGGCACAGGGTATGGGGTGGGTATGGAGGACTTCCTGGTCCTGAATGGAGTAACTGTGCTTCTGAAGGACCAGGTACGCAGCCTGGGAGTCATTTTGGACTTACAGCTGTCCATGGAGGCACAGGTCAATTCTGTATTCAGGGACAGTGGTCTACCAGCTCCATCTGGTACACAGGCTGAGACTCTACCTGCCAGTGGACTGTCTTGCCAGAGTGGTGCATGCTCTAGTTATCTCCCGCTTGGACTACTGCAATGCACTCTACGTGGGACTACCTTTGAAGGTGACCCGGAAACTACAACTAATCCAGAATGTGGCAGTTAGATTGGTGACTGGGAGCGGCCGCCGAGACCACATAACACCGGTCCTGAAAGACCTACATTGGCTCCCAGTACGTTTCCAGGCACAATTCAAAGTGCTGGTGCTGACCTCTACAGCCCTAAATGGCCTCGGCTCAGTATACTTGAAGGAGCGTCTCCACCCCCATCGTTCAACCCGGACACTGAGGTCCAGCACCGAGGGCCTTCTGGCGGTTCCCTCACTGTGAGAAGCGAAATTACAGGGAATCAGGCAGAGGGCCTTCTTGGTAGTCGCGCTCGCCCTGTGGAATGCCCTCCCGTCAGATGTCAAAGAAATAAACAGCTATCTGACTTTTAGAAGACATTTGAAGGCAGCCCTGTCTAGGGAAGCTTTTAATATTTGATGAATTGTTGTATTTTAATATTTTGCTGGAAGCCGCCCAGAGTGGCTGGGAATTATTATTAAAAATAAATATGAACATTGAATGCAGTGAATGCGCCATCTCTTGTCTTCAACCACAAATCCACAGACATGGAGGGGAGAGCTAGACTATCAATGGCTGCTAACCATGATGACTATGTTCTACCTCCACTATCTGGAGGCAGCATCCCTCTGAAGACCAGGTGAGCAGAGTGCTGTTGTGTTCATGCCATGCTTGCAGGCTTCCCACAGTCACTTGGTTGGCTGCTGTGAGAACAGGATGCTGGACCATTCTCCTGATCCAGCAAGCTCTTATGATTACAAGCAGCAATCCATTGAGCAGATAGATGGCCAACACTGGATGTCACCCAATGCAGATTTAAAATCAATTTTGGTGTTTTTGTAAAAAAAAAAAAAAAAGCTCAACATTTTTGGGGTCTTCCTAAAAAAAAGCTCAAAAAAGCTTTTGAGCAACCCTACAATATCTACATGGGACGCGGGTGGCGCTGTGGGTAAAAGCCTCAGCGCCTAGGGCTTGCCGATCGAAAGGTCAGCGGTTCGAATCCCCGCGGCGGGGTGCGCTTCCGTCGCTCGGTCCCAGCGCCTGCCAACCTAGCAGTTCGAAAGCACCCCCGGGTGCAAGTAGATAAATAGGGACCGCTTACTAGCGGGAAGGTAAACGGCGTTCCGTGTGCTGCGCTGGCTCGCCAGAGCAGCGTTGTCACGCTGGCCACGTGACCTGGAAGTGTCTGCGGACAGTGCTGGCCCCCGGCCTATAGAGTGAGATGGGCGCACAACCCTAGAGTCTGTCAAGACTGGCCTGTACGGGCAGGGGTACCTTTACCTTTACCTTTACCTTTACAATATCTACATTATAGGGACGCGGGTGGCGCTGTGGGTTAAACCACAGAGCCTAGGACTTGCCAATCAGAAGGTTGGCGGTTCGAATCTCCGTGGTGGGGTGAGCTCACATTGCTCGGTCCCTGTTCCTGCCAACCTAGCAGTTCGAAAGCACATCAAAGTGCAAGTAGATAAATAGGTACCACTCTGGCGGGAAGTTAAATGGCGTTTCCGTGCGCTGCTCTGGTTCGCCAGAAGCGTCTTCGTCATGCTGGCCACATGACCCGGAAGCTGTACGCTGGCTCCCTCGGCCAATAAAGCGAGATGAGCGCCGCAACCCCAGAGTCGGTCACTGCTGGACCTAATGGTCAGGGGTCCCTTTACCTTTACAATATCTATATTATGATATTGTTATATGTTTTAATAAAGGGGTGGGGTGAGTTTTGATGTGGGAAAGGGAGATTTAAATTTGAAATCTGTCCATCTGTCCATCCATCCATCTATTATAACAACGTACTTTTCAGACACAAATTCAAGGCAGCTCAGCACTATATGCTGTTGAATATTTCTTTGAGAGATGTGAATCGCTTACCTGTTCTGCTCGAATGCATAGCATCAAATGTGTAGCTCTGATTATTCACTTCCTTATTTGTATACCTGTTGAGTTAAATCCTTTACGCCCATATTCCCTTTCTCTATTCCAAATTATAACACAATTGAGAAAGGGACGGGGTGTGTGTGTGTTTGTGTGTGTGTGTGTGTGTAGAATTAAGGTGTCACAAAAGAAGGATTGGTTCTACATCTCCTTCATGTTGGTCAGGAGGAAATCCAGAGGCTGTAAACAAATACAAAAGCCTTTTGGGACTGTCACTTGAATAGCCAAGGGACCAATTAACACCTTATTGTTAGGATTAAGCATTAGGGGTGTTTGCAGCAAGGCCCTTTAAATTGGTACCCTTGTTTGTAGTTCAAAGTGTGAGTACATGGCAGTTTGCAAGGGAAGTGAAGATCAAAGCCCCCGCAGAACAAATAAATTACATGAAGGTAAATTCCATCTGATATAGGAAACGGGCTCTAAGGGCCTTCTCCAAAGGGTGGCTAATACTTTGGCACAAAGTAGCATGTAGGAGTTGTGAGCAGTACAAAAGGCAGGCTGACAAAGGGGGGAAAAACACCTCCTCTCAAATGAATGAATGATTTCAGAGCCACCCATTCATTTTGCCTTGCCATAGGGTGGCTGATTGCTGAGTCAGCAGGTTTCTTAGGAGGCACTTTATATTTTAGGGGGTGGTTCGCAACTCAGCTGACTGACACCATACGCTTAGATGCTGCACCTTAGAGCCACTGGTTAATTTAGAAAGCCTATGTGGTGAGGCCTCTTTATTAGTCTTTATTGTTACATAAAAAACTGTTACGGCTAAAATCTGGGTGCGGCGTTACTCTGCCACCCAGCTCATCGGACTAAGTCTGTGGGTCCCTGCGGAAGAAAATGAGCTCAGCCGGACACAGGAGCAAACTGCAGAAGATCCAAGTTTATTGCGCAACAGGTTCAAGGCGAGATTGAACCCAGAGAAAGGGGTGACATGAACTTTTGAAATTTCCCTCCATATCCCAGAATACAGTGCATGAAACGTCACGAATACATTATGGGAAGGTTGGGTTTCACAAGTTACATCATGAATATACTTTACACGTCATGAATACATTATGAAAAGGTGGGATTACATTAATTAGCATTTTCGGATGAGGGAGGGGGGATATGCGGAGCGGGAAATATACATAGATACACATTTATTGAGTACCGGTGGTGGCAAGACAATGGGTCAGAGATATGCATCGTCTGCCACTTAATATTGCCTAGAGGGAAGGTTTGGCAAATTAAGAAGTTCCTGCGTACGTGACCTGCCGCTTCGGGGATTATGGAAGTAGGGATAGCATCATGGAGTCCACGGGGAACTGAGTTGAATGACACTGAGAGCGAAGAAATTGGAGTTACGGTTGATTTTATATCAATTTTTAAAGATTTCAATGATTTCAAACCCATTCTGTACTATAGGGCAAAAGCAGAAACAGAATGGATACATTGTAACAGGAGGTCTGTGATTGGCTAAAGCGGGGCCATAGGAATAAGCGGGGCCTCGGATGTTCCTAGAAGGAAGGGGGAAAGGAGCCCCCCCCTTCCGTTCCGTATCAGTCCCCCATTCGGAGATAGATTTGCATTAAAGTTCTGTAAGAACTTGCAAATCTTTTCTCCGCACCCTAAATCTCGGTGAATGGGATGTGTGGCTTTATGCAAACCTGAAAGGGACTTGCAAGCCATGCCTCTTACGGTCATTTGCAAGTATAGCAGTGCAGGTAGCTGCATATAGGGTATTATATAAAGAACACCTCTTGTATTTTGTTGCTAAATTACTTGTGGCATTCTCAATAGTGTTTTATGCTTTACACCTAGCAGGAAGGTCTACTAATGACTGAAAAGTGCAGTTTGCTTCCCCCCCGCCATTTGTGTGTTCTCAGGTGTCAAGGTAGCTCTTCTGTGGTCTCACATCGGCATGGTGTCGCAGTAGTGGCAATTCCTGCTGAATCCACTTAGGGCTTTCATGTTGCCTGGCACCCACCACAGCTGGCACAGGTTTCGGACACGTCCTGAGAGAAATGCCTTTGCCTTGGCCAAAATCCATGGGATTTCTTATTATTATTACAGGCTCTGGTCTTGCATCCTGGGAAGTTGCTCACTTGCAGTTTAAGGACCAAAAAGCTAATTGCAGCCTGGATACACTTGCCCAATTCAAACTGAGTCCAATTTGAATTTATGTGCCCATGGTTCTCAACCTTTCAAACCAGTCTGTTAAAGGAAAACCGTTCTTAAAAGGGCACTTTGTCCAAATAAGACAATTTAACTCTATAAGGGATCATTCCTGCTAAACCAAAGCATATGCACCTTCATGTATCTTATAAGCTTCTCCTTGGTAAAGCAAGTTTTAGCACATTTTAAAATGGATGGGGAAAGTTGGCAGAGTGCCAGGTGGGACAATGAAATGTGGTTATCTAAACATTGGACTACACAATAGTGTGAGCTATCAGAAAGTATAAAATGCATGAGAATTGGTGTGCAAGCAATAAGACATTAAACATAAAAACAGTTACACACACAAAAAAAATGCCCCCCTTTGTGGAAATCACACTGTCAGACACATTTCAACATTCTTAC